AGCAATAAAGTGTTTAAAGGGATTTCTTAAAGGGTTGCGCTATTATTTTTAGCAGGGCTGCCGAATTTAAGCATAAATAGCATAATTTATTATAAACATGAGCGATAGCTTTTTACAAAATAAATACCAGTTAGAGAACAATTTAAATGAAATATATTGAGGTTTGTGCTCAAACTATTTGCCTGCCTGACCAAAAAAAAAAAAAAAAAAAAAAAAAAACATAACATCCATTAACAAATTTGCAATTAAACTTGAATTTAAAAATTAAAAATTACTTTCTATAAAAAAGTATATTAATTGAAATTAATGTACAAATTTGAGGCTTGTACTTAAATCATTTGCCTCAAAACAAATTAAAAACATAATCAGCATTAAAAAATTTGTAAATAAACTTAAAATTAGAAATTAAAACAATTAGAGAAGCTATAGCTAGAAGCTAAAGTAGAGAAGCTAAACTCTCATTGTTCAGATGGATGGACATGATCATAGAGATTTGTCTCGCCATAATAAAATAAATAAAAATACAATTTCTCGAAAATAAACGAATAGAATATGACCGTGGCTTTTGAACATCTTGAAATTCTTAAGTTCTTTTTTATTGGCTTTTATCGTCTGCTGAACTTTCCTTTCTATTGCCAAATTGTAAATTATAAAGTGACAGCATAGCCACATTTCACTGTGTTGGCGTTGTTGGTTAGTTGGTGTAAGAAAGTATTCAAACATGCATACGATTTTCTATGAAATGCTCAAATTGTAGCTGCCTTGGCTTGCTGCAATCCAAGCTGCTATGGCAATGAATCAAGAGTGGCACACAATAATAAAAGAAAATAGAATGCAAAAATGCCAGAATGTAAATTATACTGGTGTAGTACGTACAAAGGCGCACCCACACATAGATATATTAGAGCGAAAAATTGTGCTTCAATGAGCTGACGAGAAAAGGATGTCCTTTACCGTACTTAAACATGGTGCCCACACAAAAGGCATTAAAGGAAGATAAGAAAAAAAAAACCCATCCGAAGGCTGGGCAATGATGAGCCAACAAAAGAAAAACTCGCTGTAAAATGTTGTCAGCGAAGACAAACAGCAAATGTGCATTAAAAATATTGCCCGATATGAGGACAACCACCATTGAGGAAGCCGAAGGACTCCCTTAACTGTAGAATAACAAAAGCGAAACTTGCAATTAAAGCGGCTTTAAGTTACAGCATAAAATCGATGGCCAATACCATCGTCTCGCTAGCGTAGCTAGTTTGATAAATAAATAGAATTGATTAGAAGAATGTGACGCACAGGCCGTGCCATTGATAGATTCAACGCTCGTTATCAGCCGGCAATTTCATTATTTTAATGCGCTAAATGAATTATCAGGGAACGTTCGAGCCGAGCACTCGCCCATCAAAACTAATGGGCGCGCCCACAACTTTCAGGAATGGAAAAGGGAATGGCAATTGGAATTTGGAATTAGCGGTGTGAGTGAAGGCGTGAGTGAATGAGTGAGTGAATGAGTGAGTCTAATGAGTGAGTGATCTTCGAAGGTCAAAAAAGCAGTCTATTTCGTGAGCGTGACGGCTGCCATAATACCGTGAGGTTCATGATATAATGCCGCAAATAAAGAAGAAAAGTTACAAAAAATTAATAAATATAAAATATGGAGGTTCTAGTCTAGATAGCATGCGATAGAGGGCCCTCAGTCTCGAGCAAAAGGAACTGAAGCAGCCGTGCTGCGTCCATGCAAAGCCTTAAGATATACACGTACGTTAATAAAAGCAAGCTTAAGTAAGCTTATTCTTAATCTAAAGAAATGGTTTGCCGATCTCACAGTCGATAAAAAGTGTAAATCATAATTCATGTAAAATAGAATTGAGAAACGTAATAATAATTTGGAGATCCATATGGCTAGTTAAGATACAAGTAGTACTTGTATATTAACGCAAATACATATGATTTTGCCAAACTTTGAATTTACTAATCGGATTAATTTGCCAATCCAATATTGTGACGCCGGCATTTTCAGTCACGTGCACAGCTCTAATTGGAATGGATGCTGAGTGTCATTGATTGACTGGCGAATCACAGCGAAAAGAGAGAGAGAGAGAGAGAGGGAGAGAGCTGTCTGCGAAAGACAAGCACATCATTTTCCTGGCCAGTCGGTCTGGACAAGCGACAATTCTTTATTTGATTTTCTTCACTCACACACAGACCCACTAAATACACCAAACACACTTGAAATGTTCAAGTTGTTGCTTGTTTTATGCTGACGTTTTACAGAAATAAAAAATACTGTCCAGTTGATTCGACCCTCTGTTAATATTAAAGTGAGCCAAAAGATAGAGTCAGCTGAGCTGGGAAATGCGAACATTTTTGTAAACCAGGATATGTCGAGACTGAAACCACGATTCGTGCGCATTATCATCATTTGGACGAGTTTGTTTTGAATTCCCCATTCCACATTCCTCGTACCAAGCACAATTGTAGAATGCCAACGGAATGTCCTCGCTCTGGCAGGAAGTGTAAAGAGAGGAGTTGCTTATTCTTAAATTGCTATGCTAAATTGGTTAGATGAAAAACCTACAGCTGTTGTGAATTCCTGGCCATTGTAGCAGTAAATGACAATCTGATAGCTTCCGGCCGCTAGGTACATTATCATTCGCAGCGTTGTAATGCTGCGCCCCTGCGGATGTGGAAGGATAAAATGGAAAAAAGGGTCACATTTAAATACCAATCGAGATGAGAGAAATGCTTGGCATTACAAAGCCTACGCTCGACTCAGAAAGCACGAGACCCCAACAGAGGAAGGCTGAGCTGAAAATTTATTAGTATCATTTGACGAAAGTGACTGTTGACCTCCAGAGCATAGCTACAAGAGACATGTTCTTGGATTCATTACTCGACTATACTTGCTGGACTGGATGCGGTCGCTTACCCTGAGATACGCTGATATTGATAGATGCAATAGCGCCTCGACAGGCACCAGCGTTAATGTCGAGCACTGAACTATGCAATTTAACGCTCTCAACAGGCCAGCGTCATGCAGACAGATGACAATAAAGGCCACATCGAAGCTGACGGCACCTGTGGGGCCATAGTGGGTCACAGTTAAACAGTTTTGGCTTCACAATCCCAACAGCATTGGGGAGGGCCTGCCCTTTTCACGCCATTCCGGGTCCTCCGAAGGAAAGGCGTAAATAATACAAATATAATATTGAATACTTGTTCAATACGTATACGTAACGGTTATCCAGCTGCTCAAAGAATTGTGTAGATTAAAAGTGTGTGTTATTTACTTTTTAGAGCTACGCTCCTCCATCTCAGATTATCTTGGCATTAGAAACATGAGAGTGTATACCCAATTTGTTTTCTTATTTACTTTAACGTCAGTGTGTTAATCGTTAAAGCTGTAAACGCTGTGGGTCGACACATCAGTTGTCTACACGATTGAGCTTAAATTTGACTTACTTTGGGATATAGCTGGAAGCATTTTGATACTCTGAGTCCACGGTCTAACGGTATCAATAACAACTGAAATATTCGTTCTTAGCTGACAGAACTTGAACCTTCGCCATAGTATACTTTATTTCCATATTTGGAATTATTAGTTCTGTGCGAACAAATTTTGGAAACGATCTCTTAGAAAAGTCACAAATATGTTAATATATCTGGATCATACATTTCAGATATTGTGCTTATAAAAATATGGAAAGCAGGAAAATAATGTGAACGGAATCTAAAGGAGAAAAGAAGCCACTAAGTTAGTTAAAAAATGTATGTAAAGTCCACTTATGGGTAGTTATTTCTAAGCAGCAGAATTTGAATACACTGCCTAAACTCTATGCTGCTGCAACTTAAGCTCGTCCTCAACAGAAATCTGTAAAAAAAAGGAATGAAAGGAAAAATCAAAAATAAAATATAATATATATATTTTGCACTCCTGCAACATCTGATGGCAACAGGCACGCGTCAGCTTATCATAGAATTCTGGTTGGAAAAAGAAGAAATACAGCACAACAATTTCACGATTGAAACACTGTGGCAATGCTGTGGAAAATCACAACGATTTGTATGCGAGTAATATCCATTAAGACTATAGCGCATCACCTTTAACACTTTGCTGCAAGTCGTGCAAATAGACTTTTCACTTCTGCCAGTGGCCGTAGGTGGAGGCCACACAGCCGAACAGAAGAGCACGATTCCACCTACAAGCTGAGATATAAATGGCACGTCTTTATACCTACACCTTGAGAGCGTTGCCCAATCGGGATGGCTTCATTAGATTAACGCTCAGAGTATAGAAGGCAATTATTGTCGCTGTGATGGTACGATAATTGGCCGCCTTTAGTACAGCGACTTCTTCCGTTGACAGCATTTTCGGTAATTGGCTGCTAATTGTCTAACTCAGCTCTTTATAAAGTTATTAAAGGGGAGTACTAGGGCTTGACATTAATTGGGGTAAATGGAAGTCAAAGCCGTCCAACGATATTAAATAATTCATGCGTCACGCCCCATTACGTGCAGGGTTGCATTGAATTCTTAAATATATTTCAGACCCGCCATTGTCTGCATAATAGCAAGAGTTTATGCAGAGCGGATTGTTGATTTTGGCAGCGCATTGCATTAAAATGAAAAACTAGAGAAATGGGGTTGACGCACTCTCGTAGTGCCCTTTTTTTTGCACAAATTCTTAGCCAAGTTAGAAACCTTTGCAAGAAGCTTTTCAACCGCCACCCAAACAGCTTTTGCATTTCGAAATGTTGGCAACACTAAACAGCTAAGGCAGAGCGGTCATTGGTTTTGAAATTATAATCCGTTGTATATTATACTGAAATTGTATTCCTTGCATCAACATTTTGAAAAATTTATATTCTAAATCATAAGACACTTGTCCACAAAACAATAATATCTTTTTTTTAAATTAATTTATTTGGGATACTTTATTAAAGCTCTTGGTAGATTTTCTTTTCTTGTACTTGAAAGAAAAGGTAAGTACAACAACGCGCTTTTTATTTCTCGCTCACATTTTGCAGTAAGAGAAAATATTGTCCACTCGTTTTCATCATCTGCAAATTATTGAATTAATTTTTTAAAAAGTGAAGGGAATATAACAAATAATTTCACACTCACCACCATTAGAGTTGGCAAAGACATTTTTGTGAACCATGAAACATCCAAATTGAACATACGATTTGTTCGCATTATCATCATTCTCACGAGTTGTCTGAATTCACGATTTTCCTTATACCAGCAACAGTTATAGAACGCCATGGGAATTTGTTCGCTCTAGAAGGGGGAATTTTCAATACCTACATACTTATTCACATATTCAGGGTATGTAGTACTTAAATGCCTCAATCACAAATCGTATTCAAATCAAGGACATGTTTTAGACGTGTCGGTGAAGGAATTAGAGCCACATTGTGTTTAAGACTTAGATATAAGAACAAAACATGTTCGGTTAATATAAATAATATGCCCTATATAGTAGTGATTATACCTTTACAAATAATTTGTTTAATGGAATACTCACAGCTGTCATAAATTCCTGCCCATTATAGCAGTAGATGACAATCTGATATCCAGCAGCAGCCATATACATGATCATACGTATTACGGTTATAAAGCTCGATCCCTATAGGAATGATATAAATCTTTGAATAAATAACATTCCATGGTAATTGCGGAGACAATTACAAAGCCAAGACTCATTTGGAATAGAACCAGACCCCAGCAGAAGAGACTGAGCAGAAATTGCACAAGAATCATTTGACGAAAGAAGTTATTTATCTCCTCAGCATAACTAAAACAAATATGAATTTAGTTTTCGTTGGATGGCATGTTGCCTCGGACTTACGCAGACACGCGTTGGTACTGATAGATACAGTATCTTATGTACTCCACCCGACGCTCTGATGGCACAAGGGGCGAGGTTGAACACTCAATCATATAGCAAAGAGCCTTTATTTGGCCCACGCCGTGCGCACAAAGCACAATGAAAAGAGCATCGAAGCCGAATGCACCTTGAAAAACAAGTGATAGTCATAAGGAAAAGTTGGATACAGTAAATATTCTGTCACCTACCAATGCCAGCGATGTAAAGTGCACAGCCACTTAGGTACATTTCTATGTGATAATAAGGAAAGTCCATGCATTTGTCTTGCCATTTGGGATAACGAACAGGAAATGCTGCAAGAAATGTAAAGGTGACGGATTTCTTAATGCGATTGTGAGAGCATAGGAACAACCAAATCATTTTTTTTTTTGTACATCAAATATTATATGACAGCTATATTGTGGTCGGTTCTAATCGATCGATTTTCAGCTGTGGGTAGCTTCGTGATTGAAGAAGATATACGGACAGGTGGACGTTTCGACTTATCGACATGCTTTCTCTTCTCACCATTCGCCATTTGTTCTACTTACGAAGTATAATCTCAAAGCTGCCGTAAGGCCTGGTATAGTAATGATAGAGATTGACGCCTAGTGAGTTGCCGAAATAATTACAAATTATGGCAATGCAGGCACTGACATAATAAAGAGACTGACGTCGTATGCTCGTCCAGCTGGCCGACATTATTTCATCCACTTTTTCCTTCAGTTCTTGATTTATCGGAAAATCTATAATTATTTTGAGTCTTATATGTATTAATAGTCCTTCTTTGTATACTATATCTTTGTATATTTCCCAAACCAGAATGAAAGATCTCGCAGTCCTGGAGTAACTGATGAGTGCAGGCCCGTTTGAGTAGCTCATAAAACTTGTGTTGGATAAAGAGACAATAGGCCATTTTCATAATGGACATAGCTGTCTGAAACATAGTCGAAACGGTCTGGAAATATAAAATTGACATTGTAAGCGTGTTTTGAGTATTCGAAACGTTTCGCAACTTACTTCCACAATGCGTGGTATTTCATGTATGTAGAGAATAATTAATTGCCAGTGACCATAAAACGAGATCAGGCTGCTCACCATTAGAATGATATTCAATCTATGTGTCGAAATAAATGTATGTTTTCAAAGAAAATCAAAAAAATAAAACACAGTTACAGACATTTAAATTTTTTTTAAATTTCGAGTTGATGTCGCAGAAACAAACCCTCTAGTTTGCAGAAATCACTTTTATTTATTTGTTATTTGTAAGCAGATTTAAATTCTTTAATTGGAAACTTACAGCTTTAGTGCATTGCCGAGGCGGGATGGCCTCATTAGATTTACTCCCAAAGCATAGTTGGAAATAATAATCGGACGAATGGTACGATAATTACGCGCCTTAAGCGCAGCAACCTCTTCCGCAGACAACATTTCTAATAATTGACTGTTAATTGTTCCAATCACCCCTTTATAAACACACCAGCTAGCTTGTCTTTTAAGCAAAAACTGTATTGCACGCAATTAGAAATGATTTCGTGAGCTCAGACCAGTTGAGGCGGCTCGAAATGCAACCTGAAGGTGTGGATGGATACGCCTCTTTTAGGCTAAGGTAGTATATGTATTTGAAATCGCCTTCATTGGCTCATTAATTGTGTAAAGGAAATGTGAATTTGAAAAATGATACAACATGCTGGGAATGAATTAAGTAGTAAAATGTTAAAATAAAAGAATAGCCCTAGAATTGTCAAATTTAAGAGTTCAGAAATAGGAAAATAAAGTAACAACTTTATTTCCCTTTCCTTAAGTTCGCAGTGCCAAACAATTAACGTTTGTCTCCTATTTCCGAAGGCTTACTAGCCATCATCCAGATGGACAGACGTCTGTCCGTATGAGCACAATGTTTGAACTATAACATCTAGGGACACCAACCTTCATTTCATTCAAGACCTACACTCTAATCTGACGTTTTATCGGAGTTGGAGCAGTCGTTCGAGCAGCAGCCATAGGTTTAATAAATGAACCTTAGTATTAAACAATTGCCTGTTTATTTTGATATCTTAACTAAATTTTCCTATTTTTTTTTTTAAATAGCTTCCTCAGTATATTCGTAAATGCTTACATTAAAGAGCTGCAACAAAGTTCATTTTAAGACAATAGCAGGGAATTCAAGTTCCATGACTTGTTATTATATTTTTTGTTTTGAGAAAATGAACAAGGAAACCGATTTTGAAAATGTACGATTAATCCTCATAAATATTATTTGGATGTTACAGAGAGATGTCTGAGATAAAGCTTTGGAAGCTCCTAAAAACTCTATTATAAAAGCATACGATTTATTTATAGAAGCTTTTAGAAGCTCTTATATACAAGCTTATTTTCTTTACCCACTATCGACTGAGCTTTGAAAGCTTTAAATACCATACATAGGGATAACGAATCTAGAGCTGCCCGCGTGAGGAAAATGCTGTCACATTCACGAAGTTCACGTGCAAATTTAAATATATTTCTTCGTGGTAACTTAAACCCAAAAAAAAATATTGTATATATATTTCTTAATGTTGGGCGTTTTAAAATAGACTTTTCTCTATTAACAATTTACATTGAAAAGAATAATAATAATATTCTGAATTTCTCAATGATTAAATCTTACTCGTACTCCTTTCAAATTAAAAATATTATTATATAGTTATCCCTTGATTTCCCAAGAAAAGACATGCTCTATTTTTTTTTTTAAATTTTTCTCAATGATTTATATATTTTCATGACATTTCGCTCAATATAATTTTCATAAAGTTCTGTTTGCTTGTTTTTAAACGATTCTCTGTTTTTGGTTTCTTTTTTATTCACTTTTTGCTGATTTACAATCGTCACTGACTGACTACGTTAAAATGTACATATCATTTAGTAAATAATTATTTTATATATATTATATATAATAATTAATATTAATAACATTTTGTGTTTCCCTTCTTACACTTGAATTGTAATGCGTGTGTAGCGTACTGTTAAAAATAATTTAGAAAAATAGTAACAATTTAAAAATCAAAACGATTTTTGTATAAAAATTGCAGTGCTTTCTTGTTATCAAACTAAAGGGCTAACATGAGTAACGGCGCAATTGGTTGTGAAAAACATATTTACAAAAGTTTCATATTCGCTTGTAATCTCAATATTTTATATACACATACATATATAAATATATAGTATATATGTTTACATGTGTTTCATTTGTTATATCAACTTAGAGTCCGCCTTTTATGCATAATGGAATGGAATGTGTGACGAGTGCACAAAAATTGTGTAGAATCTTCAAAATGAATTGCTTACAAAATTCAGACGCATTAAGCATTTTAAATTGTATTTTATTTAATTCTCTTTAATTTTAAATACATACATGTTTACCTATGCTCTTAATTAGAATTATTTACTCGTGTTGTTGCTTATTTACTCGTAATTTTTAATTCAAAAGCGGACGTTGAGATTGTTAGCATCTCATAATAAAATACAATAGTTTGAATTTACAATGCATATGTATGTGTGTGTGTGTGTGATTTTCTGTTTCTATGTGTGTTTGAGTGTGTGTGTGTGTGCAGTGCCTGTGTGTATGTGAGCTCGTATCCTTTACTGATATGTTTCTAAGAGGCTAACTTGCATTTGAGTTTTGCTTTTGTGTGATCGATTAGTTTATTCAATTATTTATGCTGGCAATTTTTTAGCTGCTCCAAAAATTGCATATATTTGGTGTAAGTTATGTAAATACGTCTTAGGACTTATAAAGTTACGCCTAAATGATGATCACAACTTTACAAAATGAATATCTGCATTAGATGATCTTAACCGTAGTCGTCTCCTGGCAATGCTGGAGTTTTTGTGAATATTTTTATTTGAAGCCTCAATTCTCAGAAGCTGAGAAACCAAAATCTCTTTCGTGGTAGGAAAAAATTGGCTCTATCGTGAAAAATTGAATTCAGATTTTCTACATTTATGTGTAGAAAGTGGTTTCCAAATTTTGAATTGAATACAGTTTTAAGTTTTGGTTTAGAACAGAAATATAAAAAAAATTGAAAAAAATTGAAAATAATGTACGCATCTCTGGATGGCAATGGTTCCAGATTTGAAATAGTTTTCCAGGGAGAGTCCTACGGTCCATAAAAAGTATGCTGGACAGGTTTAGGCTTGATTTGTTTTGCTCGCTTCACTTAAGCTTCGATATTAATTTGTTGCTAGCTCTTTAAATGTACTCGTATGTGTATATTTATACATATATATATCTGTAGGATTTATTATAAACTTCTTAATAAATGCTTCAATTTATTGGTTTTGCTTCTAGCGTAAAAATTTGCTTGCATAAATATTTTTTATTTCAATATTTACTCGTACCTTGTTTTGGTTTTGTAGCCATGCGTTTTTCTTTTGTTGCGTTTTTAACATACTTAGAATATTATCAAATGCTCTTTAAATATACGAATTTGTTTTGCAAATATATGCGCTAGTCACTGAAATGAAATGCTGCTGATGTTCTCATTTACCATACAAATTCTACACACAACTTGGAATGTTTCGGGCACAACTGAGTGAGGAGGGATCACTTAAACAATTTCAACATACTTCTCTTAATTGACCAAATAGATTGTTTTTTATTTTTTTAAAGAAAATACACAAAATCAAGAAAAAGAAAGAAAAGTATTAAAAAATTGGAGTTTTAAGGTCCTTTGTAGAAACGGCATAGGAACATGATGGTATTGCTTGGTTTTATCGAAACGAAGGGACACCGCTTTTTAAAAAATCGCGTCTGCTCATTTGAGAATTGTTTTGATTTTGTTTTTTTTTTCTTGTTAAGCATACCTTAAACATGAACATGATAACGCTAATGATAGTTTGTAACTTTCTAATTTGTTTAACTTTCAACTAACACGCACACACACAATGAAAAGCATCGACTAATGCACAATATCACTAATGAAGAACGAAACCGCGCTCACAACTCTGAAAACGCGCACAAATCGCGCGCGATTTCCATACGGGCGCGCATACTTTAGAATGTCGTTTAGTTTTAAATAACGTTACTACTCTCTAGATACACTGAAACAATTTCATTTTTATTTACGTACATAATGCATACTTCTAGTTGTCAATAGGAGGCTCAGAGCAACAAAATGAAAATGTGTTTAGTTGTAAATAATAATAATATTAATTGTTTGTAAATGTTGCGTTGCGATTTTTATGAAACGAAGCACAAAGCCTTACACGATAACAAACATTTTCGTAACGATCTTTAACTACATTTTCTTTTGTTTCTTTAAAATGAATTTCGAGTTTTGGGTTTATATATTTAGATATATGTATGTATATGTGTGTATATATATATATATCTGTGTTGTATATGCTTGGCGCGTGAAAATATAGTTAATTGGTAATGTTTGTCGCGAATTGTGTTCGTTGCTAATTGCAAATGGTAAATATTTGTATTACTATAGGGTGTATAATGTATATTGTATATATAATTTTTGGGCTTGAAATATGAATATTCATTTCTCTCTTTGTTACTTTTTAACTATTTATCGACAATGTAGGCTTTTGTGGTGACTTCGTCTATGTTTGTAAGCTGTAAATAAATGTAGCGCTTTTCCTTCATTTCCTATCCTTCCTTTAGCTGGCGCTTTCATTACTCTTGTTGTATTTAGCTTTCCTTCTTCAATTCACATAGTTTTAGCTTATGGTTTATGTACATATATAGATATATATATATATATATATAGTAGGCTCAGTTATGTATATAGTATATAATGTTTTTTCTTGCTGTATAAATAATGCATTTAATTTGTGTTCCTTGTTGGTTTGTTTGTTGTTTGTTTTGTTGTTGTTTGTACGGCTTGCGCGGCATCGCGGTTAGCTTAATGCAACTCATAGGGTTTTCGTTTTATTAGGTTTTGTAAAAATAGGTATTCAACTCTGACTTCAATTTAGACTAGGATACTGTTCATTGCTTTTTCATAATTCACATTCCATTTTTGCTAACTTTGCTATCACTTTGAGTTATATTTTCATTTCATTTTGTTTTGTTTTAGTTTTTGTTTTTGTTTTCAATGCTATCATTATGTTTAATTTTTTGCATAGGTTGTGGTTTATAAATACTTAGCGCTACGTTGCCTCATCCCCCTGGCCGGATGTTGCAGCATCTCCCCCACTATCGCCATCCCGCGTCTGCAGCAATGCCCGCTGTTCGTCGTTCACATCGCCCGCCTCCTCAGGCTCTGCGGCTACTACCACTGCCGGAGTCGCTTCTGCGCCGGCGCGACTGTTAGCTGGCGAGGTGAATGTTGTCTCAGAGTCTGTGCGGAATTATAGTTATGAATATGAATTATTACAAAGATTCCATAAATATAATTAAACGATATTCAGAGTGCTACAAATATAAAATTAAATAATGCTGTACAGAAAGCTGCGTGTGATAGTGGGTGAAGAGGCTGAAGATTGCCTGAGAATGTATATGCGAAGGTGGTATAATGATCTATCTTAATAGCTTTTATTGTTGTTGTTAAAGTTGACATACAATTCTATAAATAAATATTTGTGATGACTTTTGAAGTGTAATGATATCGTACCTTTAATAAGCCTAAGCATAACATCACGACAGAAATAATAGACAAATTTATAAGAAAATTGTCGTTTTATGTTGATCAAGATTTTAACAAGATTTTTGAACAAATATGAAATTATTTTTATAATAATAATAACTACTGTATTTGTTTATTAGTTAATACTTGAGCTATAATCAGAAGAAAACCAAATCAAGTTCGCAAATTATTTGTATGAAACATATTCTGAATTTAAAAATAAATTATGTATATTATATATTTTTTGGCTTCTAACAATCTAACAATTTTTAAAATTATACATGTATAGTAAGTAATTAGATCTATGTATGTTTGTAGCTTAAGAGCGATTAAAAATGCGACAGGTTGGTTACTAATTAACATCATTATTAATACGGGCATTATACCACCCCCGATCAATGTGTAAAGCGTTCAGTATTAGTGTTGGAATATGCGAATCGAAATGTTAATACGTTGATTACGATTATGTGTGGTGCCAAAAGCCTGTATGTGCTACACAATGCGACTGCAAAGAGCAAACTACAAACTTTTGAGCAAAGCTACAACTCGAATACACAAGTGTTAGCTGCTGAGGTGCCAATGGGGGGTGTGTGGGGTGTGGAGTGTACAAGCTGGGGCGGTGTCTTCAATAATCCTTTTAAACCGCCACTAAGTGCCAAAATACAGTCGTCTAGGTTTAAGTTCACCATCGTTTGTACTAACAAATTGTTTGCGTTGTTTGCTGCACTCCATCTTTGGGTGTGTTGGTGTGTGTGTGTTGGGATATATGTATACGAGTATGTGTGTTTGTTTGGGCTGGGTATATGTTTTCAGATTGTTTGTTCACTGTTCAAAATGCAGCATCGAAGATAGTAACTAAAAATGTAAGGCGCGCAACAGCGATGATAAAAAAGAAAGAGGTAGGAGTAGAGCGAGAGAAGAGAAAACAAATTTGTTGTTTTGTTTGGTTTGTCACAGCCAAATGTCTGGATTACTCAATGACGTACTCAATGATAAGTTAGCCAGCTGATCAATTCAGCAGCAGTTCCTTAATCACTTACCTAGGCTGCTGTCCCTCGTCTGGGACGCATCGTAGCGTCCATCGGTGCCGGACATGTGAGTCGAGGCTGAGGAACGCGACAGCACAGGCTTCACCTGACGCAGAGCCTGCTCTTCGGGATAGCGAGGCGTTTGGAATTTGGTTGGTTTCGATTGCAAGGTCGCAGGTCCTGAGCGTTGTTGTATAAGGGTACGGTGCCTAAGGGGTGGTGGGGATACAGACTTAGCTAAAACTGAATGAGGTAATTTATTCGGTGAGTAATCGCTGCCAGATTCGCCCTGTAATATAAAGAGTGAAAATTCATATAAAATCTAGGTGTATAGTATAACTAATTGTGGGAAATCTATAGTAACTGAGCAAGTTGACGATAGCATTATTTAAAGTTAATATTCAATTTAAATGGAAGTTACACTCGGTGGCTATTTGCACCTTAATATTTATTTGGCAATACAAAGCAACAGTTTCTCTTTATTTATTAGAATTGCATTTACACGTATATTTAAATTGTATTCTTCTGGTTATCTACAAGTATTGAACTGTTATGATTTTATTTATTTTTGAAAGTCATTCGAAGGATACTTAGTCATTCCAATCGTTTAATTTCAAAGTCGTCCTTAGGCACTTATTTCTTCATCAAACTATTCCATCAATTTCGATAACTATTGGATAAATGCTCTCGTTTATTCAGATTGGTCTCATTTTCACAAACAGTTCAAATATTTTGCAATTGAAATTCTATAGTTTTTGAATCATTCGATTGAATTTTAATTCGATTTGAATTCTGCTGGCCTTAGATTACTTTATGCTCACCATGACGGTGCCATTGTCGGACACGCCCGAACCTGACATATTGTCTGCCAACAGACGCTCACTCTCGGGATCGGATAGCACGCGTGAGACATCAGACTTGTTTTTCAATATCGATTTGGAACGTCTGTGGTGTTCGAGATTTGGTGATGCATCAATCGAGTCTATCGATGAGGAATGTTTGCTCTCGAATTTGGCTGCAAAATAAAACATTAACAATAATCAATGTGGCTTGGTATTTGAGTCGCAGGAACTTATACCTTTGGCGCCCACATTCTGTAAGCCAAACAAATGCTGATTGATCAGTTTTGTGGCAGTGGCTAGGCTCTTGCCCGGCATAAAGACCGAGCGCTTTTTCTTGCTGCCGCCGCTGACGCCGGCATTGCTGCTCGCTGGACTCCCATCCAGCCGTACATTATCCTCGGACAATTTGGTGTCCTCGAAGCGAGCACGTGGCTTGGCACCACCAGTTGCGCCGCTGCTGGAGCTCGGCCGTATAGACGTGAAGCTCTGCTGAAAGCGCGTCTTGCGATGCTTTGGCACTGAGTTCTCATTCAGGCTGACGTGACTGCCACGACTGTCCTGAACATCGAAGCTCTGATAGACATCGTCGAGCGGACTGAGGCCGCCAGCGGCCAAATTTCGTAAAGGCGTATCCCCCGAGGCGCTCTTCTTCACCTGCGCCCGCAAAACGCCCATAGCCGATAGGCCCGATGACGAAGCCGTCGGAGGCATACTCACAATATACCCCGTCGAGCTACTTATGCCTGCGCACTCCTTCTCCAGTGGATTGATATACAGATTGTCCATGTCAATGTCCAGGGCACAGGCATCATCATTGAAGTCGGCAGTGAGATCGCCCTGCGATAGAAACGGATGCGTTTGACAGCTGGCATATGTGTCTGAACTGTCCACGCTGGCCAGGTCCGCATTATTATTGTTGCTACTGTAGTTGCTGTTGTAATTGCCATTTCCGAAGAGTAGCAAGCCGCCTCCAATGCCAGCACCTGTGGTTGTGGTGTTGAAGTTGTTGTTGTAGTTGTGGTTGAAGTTCGCACTCGAGCTGGCCGCACCACTCACAAAGGGTGGTCCAAACCGCGTCGACGCATCGAGGGGCAGGGCAATGGTGGTCGAAGTGGTTGTGCCATACGATGAGGATGTGGATGAGGATTGTGAGATAATGGGCGCCACTATGTTCGCCCCACTAACACTGGCGTAGGTGGGCAGCAAGAGATCTGTGTCCCGTTGGAACGGTGCAGTGAGCTGCAGGGGAGGCTGTTGAGCTGAGGGCGGCGCCAACAGACCGAAATGATGGGCCTGACGATAATTTGCTTGGCTGGGCAACGTTGAGGACGCCGCCATGCGCATCTCCAGGCAAATCGGCTTATGGAAGTCAGAAGTTGGAAGTGAGATAACACCCTCCGCATCTGTGTACTCCTTGAAGTCCTGCAAAGAAACGGGCGAGCAACGCAAGAACGCAAGAATAGTGAGTTTCGAAGCCTGCACCAAAATACCAAATGGGGAGGGCAAATGCAGCAAATCTTTTCCAGCTTTTCGCACTTATGCTCAGTGTTGTTATTGTTGTTGTAGTAGTTGTTGTAGTTGTTGTTCTGCTAGTTGTGCGCCATTCTCAAAAAAACGCTCAATTAAATTAAAACGAGTGCACAATTTTGTTCATAAAACATGCAAAAGTTAAACGTGCAACTAAATATAACAGAAATAAATTAAGTAGAAGAAAAAAAAATGCTGACTACTTACCCGCCAAACTTTCTGTGGTTCAGCTATTTCCGCCTCAAATCGCACAGGAAATCATAAAAAATTATAACGCCAAGTGAAATCAAAATCGGAAAAAAAAACAATTGATAATTGAAAACTTGAATCACCATTATCGTCATCCACACTTGAGTGGCGATAAAGAGTGCCAATAATGCTAATTAATTTTCCAAAATAAATTATGCTTCTTTTTGGTTTTTCTTTTGTGTGTGTTTATTTTGCAAAAACTTTGTTAAGACGTTTTTTTAGTTCGTTGCAAGGAAACCGAGTAGTATGTAACATTTGTTTAATTAACTACATAAAGTATGCATTTATTATGCTAATTTTCGTTCATTACTATAATTTGCTATATTTGTAAGAGTGTGTGTGTGGGTGTTTGTGTTGTACATTCGATTCGAAGCTAAATGGTTTCAATTACGTGCTTAAGAGTGTGTGTGTGTGTGGAGAAGAACGAATTGGTAGCTAAATACTCCTTCGAAGAGAGCTTATCGATACACAATTTAAATAAATAACACATGCAGCTTTGCTTTGATTTTGTTTTGGTTTTTGTTTTGTTTGGTGTTGTATGTACGCATAAATAGAAATAAATTAATTTAAATTAATTAAATTCTTAGAATTTTCTATGTCTTTCTTTAGCTTTCACGTCACGTCACGCACGAATATAATTCAATTAAAAATGTAGGTTCAAATTTAAGCTAGTTTTAAGATTTAGTTTAATGTTTAATCTTTAAAGCATATTCCTTTGCTTAGCTTGTGTGTGTATTTGTGTATGTATATATTATATGTATTATATATTTAAAATTAATTTTATGGATGTAGGTGTTTGGGTGTCTGGGTGTCTGGGTGTCTGGGTGTGTTCATATAATTCGTCGTTACACATTCTTGCCACACTCGCCGACTCAATCAAATTCAATCAAGCAAGCTCAATTTGTCAATCTGTCAATCTCCCACAAAGCAAACAAATGTTTCTGAAATAGTAACGCATACTAAACGCTATTCGCACGCAATGGAATACACTCGCCTTGACATCCTGGCAAACCCTTTAAGAAAAAGAAATGAAAAAGAAACAAAGTCAAAATAAAATTCCAATATTGTCTGCAGAGCAAAAAATGTACACAAAAAACAAAACATCACGTCGACGTTCAACCAGCGACAAAGCGATTTTCTCATATACTCTTGCAAAATTCGCTCAAGATTGGTAAAATCTTTGTAACTAGGAGTATGAAAAAGTAATGCATCCCCTCAAAGAAGTAGAAGCCTTGCATTTCGAAAAAAATGCAAAAGAGTTTTCGACGCTAACAAATATTATTCAGGATCTTCCATTGTTCTTATAACAGTATTATATATACTTATGATATCTGTTCCAGACGTTATTATCATCATTTTACATTTTTGTGAAGAACTTTTAAATTACTTTTTAAGTAACGTTTTTAGACTGGCCGATAAGAGGGCCAAAAAAAGTTCATAGTATCTATTAAATGCGAAATGCTCACAAAAAAAAAAATTCTTCAGAAAATGTTGTAAACCAACTAAATTACGTGAATAAAAATATCTATCTGGTATTATAACGTTTATTTTCATTACATCTGAGATAAAAATAGCTAATTATTTCTCTTGTTTGATGAAGTGTCCGTTTGTCCTTTCAATATGTTAGCTACCCCATAAGTAATTCTCCTGAAAGTTATACAAATAATTTAACAAATCCTGAATAGTTGGTGAACCAAATAAATTTGTAAGAGTATAGAAGCTCGGCGCGCCGAAGTTATCGGGTTTTAGAGTTGCTTTTTGTCGCTTGGTTTTCTCAAAGAAGGTTTTCGAGAGCAGGCTTAGGCTTATAGGTGGGGTACCACGGTTGGCCGCTGCGATACACTACACAAAAACAACAACAGTACAGACGTTTTGTATGTGAGTGTGTTTGTGTGTTGGCGTGTATGTACTCGTATTAACGGGTGCAGCGTGTTTTACCGGATTCTTCTCAGAGATAATACAAATCGAGTGTGCCCTCTTCGATCATGCGCTTGAGTGCCAAGTAATTTTTGGGTGAGGGCGGCGGACGCGCCAGTCTCTTGATGCTATATTCCTTGTCATGAAAGACACAAATGCGATCCTGTAATATGTACACGTTCTAATGAGATTATTTCTTTATACTATTGGATGTCTCCAAGCTACGTGCTGTGTTTCCGAGGCTACAGATTGAGCCTATTTCTAAGTAGATGTTGAGTCGAGCTACTCACAAATCATAAGCCTGATTTTATTTTCTAAACGCTGATAGTCCCAATTCCTTATGAAATGCATTTGCAATCTGATAGCCTAATAATGTATTATATACAAATCAAATGTTTTTAATTTTTTAGTTGTTTAGTTAATCCGATTAAAATGAACATTAAACATTAAAGCATTCGCTAAAGGGTTGGAGTTTCAGTGCAAAAAGGTGTGGTGGAAAATGAAAAATATATACAGGTTAAACACTTTACTCAAGTAATTACATATACATAAATATATACAATAAAATATTATAGAGACATACATACATAAATATATACATAGGTGCATTTATATCTATCAGCAAGCTAGTTTTCTTTGTGGTTGAACTTCTATTTATTTTACCTTTGTTGTGCAGAAGCAGCATTCGAATTCCACGGGCACGTCCTGCTCCAGATTATCCATGCGTTGGTTTTGCAAATTCTCAAGCGCCACCTGACGGCGCAACTCCGCCACTTCCTATAATAATAATTTTTATTTTTTTGCAAATGTAAAATCGAGTCTCTATGCATACCAAAAAAATTATTTACAAGAGAGTTTTTATTCCAAAGAATTCATGCAACGTGTTTTAATGTGATTAGTTACATAGTTTATAGTTAGTTTAAGACTAATTGGTAGCTAAGAGCTATCAAATGTGATCCATGCACAGCAGTGAGACGAGCACATCATTAGACAACCTTTGTGCATGCATGCTGCTTGGAATTTGATTCGAAACAATTGCCATATCAGATTTTGAAAGCATGTGAGGTATTTTGCTGTGTTAGTTTGTTTTGACAATTCGGGGGAACCACATTCGCAGTTCAATGGATGTGAACTCGGCCGTAGTTCTTTTTTCTTCTAGTTCAATTATGATTACAAATAATTAGGTGTGTGGAAAAATTGCTTTTATACATATATCTTGTAATTTCTAACCGAATATATTCTAGAAAAAAACACTCAATTTTTCAATTTAAAACTAGTCTAATGTTTTGAAAATGCTTAGTTTTAAACAATTACAAAATAAACTTTTTTGCAATAAATAAAGATGGGGGAATTTGCCGTTCTAGTCACGTTGGATATATTACTTATTCAAATCTCGTTTTCCCTCTCTAAGCGCAAATGTATTGATCTTTATCTTGTCCCAAAGGCGGGCACGATATATCCCATTGGTTCAAAGCCTTGCATCAAGATGTTAAGGTATTTGCCCTAAAGCCCTCTAAAATATTATGTCGAGTTCTTTTCTTGTGTTAGGCGTGCAATTCTTTAGAAAACACACTCGGTGGCATAGGTGATTTTTTTTTATTTTATTTTTATGGTTTACGTAAAATATTTTATTCTCTTTCTTTCTTTTATTATACTATGTAAACTGCATTGAAGATCTTCATTATCCGAAGAAACTATTTGCATTACTGAGCTCATTTTATCTTATAGTTGACTATGTCTCTGCTTTGTTTTAATATTTAGAATGATTTTTCGAATTTCTTAATAACCAGGAGAATACACGGCTGTCCATACTCTATACCTTTGAAAGGCTTCACTTCTTAGCTTATTTATTCTGTACTTCTCCTCGCATCTCCTTTGAAATCATCACATCAGCATCAAATATAATACTCAATTTAAGACTTGGTGTTAGTCTTGTGTTCCCAGAATAGTGATCTTTTTCATTTTCTTGGCATTAATTATGCAATTTTGACAACTGATATCCTGGAGACTTTGTTTCCATTAATTAGTTGGTAGTCATATTTTAAACAGCTAGTCTTAGTAGGCATTCCGTAGTTCTCATGCTCAGTACCTATGGTGCATAGTGTGGAGACATGGTTTCATTTCAATATAATGATGATCCCTTATTGAATACTTAAATTTTACTTGGTGCAAGCTGTTTTTACTAAAAGAACTAAAAGACCTAGTTCACAAAATTGAAACTGATATTACGAATGGCATATTTTTTGGAGTTTGTGAAAATGTATAGCTAAAGCTATTTATTTCCTACGGAACTTATAAACGTAGTAGCTACATTTGATATTCAAACTTCAAGCTGGTCCTAATTATCGCATGAATTTTTTTGTAAAACTTCTAAAACTATAATTTGACTTCCGTGCGCTAGCTAAATGTTTAGTGAGCGAGTCAATGTATCTGCAACCTAAAGCCAACTATATAAATCGGTCTAAATGTGCTCTCAATGCGCTTAAGCAAACTCATTTGGATTGGTAAGTTTCGGTAGTGTTGGAACAATTTCTCCATTAAAGCCTTTGCTTGCAGTCGCACTGTTTGTCATCCTATGCGTAGAGAGCACACGGCAATATCCCAATATGCGAGGCCTCAGCGACGATTATGATCTGATAAATACAGAAAATAGTATTTCGAACACTGCAGATGAAGCCGATGAGCGTCTGAGTCGTTTGAAGAGCTATTATGGGGATGTTTCGGACGATGGAGCGGCTGCGCCTCCAACTGTAAGTCCTGACTGTGAACCCGTGCTTGGCGTTGCCACTGAAGCCCCTAAAACCACTTGTGTGACCGTAAAAGCTGACTCTATTACGCCAAGAACAACAGCATTAACAACAACAGCAGCCACCACCAGTGGTTGTGTCACCACACGGGCTCCAGTGGCGAGTACAACTATAGCTTGCGATAGATTTAATTTCAATGAAGCGCCACAGCAGTCAGATTCGTCTATGACACAGCAACAGTGGCAGCAGCAGCTTCAGAAACAACTGCAGATGCAACTGCAACAGCAACAGCAGCAACAACAACAACAACCGCAGGGTCAGGGTCAGGGTCAAGGGCAGGGTCCGGAGCCAGTTGGCGAAGGTACTATGATGGCCAGCACCGAGGATGAGGCCGATCTACGCAGCAGGGAGCTGCGCACTCTCGTCCAGCATTTGTACGTGGCTCAGGCACGTGTGCAGCTGGAGGCCACGGAGATTAGGAAGGCGCAGGCGGTGGCGTCCACTGCGCAAGCGCAGCTCGAAGTGGCTGCGAATCAAGTGCGCACCATAACCGCCACTCTGCACAATGCCCAGCAGGAGGTGGCCGCTTCGGCCATACGTGCTCAGATCGCACAGCTACAGCTGGCGGCTCATGATCAGCTGTTGTTTGCTGCCCGCCAGGACGTGGATGCACTGTCCTCGCAAATGGTTGGTCTGCAGGCGGCTGAGGGTATTGTGCAGCCAAAGATGACTGTGGACTTGCACGCATTGCTGGACAAGCTGCGGCAGCCACTGCAGTTCTTTGATAGACCAACGCCAGTGCCGGTGATTGTGACGTTGCCACCAGCTTTTGGGGGCACACTCGATCGCACACAGTTGCACGGTGGAGCGGGGAAGAAAGTCAAACGAAAGCCGAAACGGAATCAGCACCAGATGTCAGCGCGAAGACAATATTTTGATCGGAACTAACACATAACCGTTTGCGTTTTGATTGGCATGTATTTCGCTAAATGAAATCTATCTATATATTTTTTGCTAAGAATTTGATCTATTTTGTAAGTGTTAACCGAATGTGTATGTGTATTATTATTTTTAAGTCCTTGCGGGATAGCCCAAGTTCATGAACTTGATTCAATGAAATCTTTCATTTAAGGAAATTCATTCATGGATTCTTTAGAAGGGGTTCTAAGTATTGTAAGATAATCATGTGTCTTCTTGATTATACAAAATTTTCGGCTTATTTTAACTCAAAAATATTGATATTTTATATAAAATAATACCATGGGCAATGGCGTTCTATGGTTTTCTTTGAGAGTTCGATGCTCTATGTTTGCTCAAATTTGAAGTCGAGAGTAATGGAAAGGTAGCACTTGAATTCTTTGGAAAAGAGTGTTCCTAAAATGAATTTTTGTTTTTGTAGATGGTTAGAAATTTGAACATATTGTAAAATTAGATTTTAGGAAATGATTTGAAATAATTAATTAATTAATAGCGTGCATTGCTATGCTTAAAACTAGCTTTATAAGATGCTTCAGGTAAGGCACACACTGATTTAAGCGTCAGTTAGTTTTTACATCAGAACTATCAGATATCTACGCATCAGCTGTAATCGCATGTAATTTCTATGCTTGAAATATCGGAGAAATCTGTTGCGGCATTTTCATACCACTGGTAATGACTCTTCAGATTTTGTTGATTTCTAATTAATCGAATCTATAAATTTTAAAATCACATTCATGAATTTAAGGCTATTTGTTTAAGTGTAGATATATAGTATGTTGTATGTGTTTCATTGTAGCTTCGCTTTCAAGATAAATTACAAAAAAAGAGTGATAGGTTCTTGATCTGATAAATGGCTGGATGCAAATATAATATATAGTTTGAGCTTTCGAGCAGCTTAAAAGTTCATATGTTCATAGTATGCATATCTCTAGAAGGCATTCCTCAAATGCAAATTTAGTTGTTTGAATTTCTTTTTTCGTTCAAAAAGAAAAGTTTAGCGTTATGTTCAGCCTCTGAAAAATCAATCAAGTCGAATCAATTGCATATCAATTGAAATCGTTCAAAATCGAAATAGATATTATATTAAATGCATATGTATATACATGGAAAGGAAAAAATGAAAATAGCAGTAGTATATATGCATTAGAGTATAGAGTAGCTTGAGTTCTTTGTGTATACTTTGAATGTACCTCCTTACTGCGTCCCCGTAAAATCTAAAAGTTGAAATGTGTTTTTGTTGTTATAGAACTTCATTGTTGCTTGCTTGCATTTGTTTGATTAATGGTTCTTTTATTGTTTTTTGTTTTTGTGAATTTTTTTAACATAATTATGAAGCTAAGTTGATAAGAGTAATAAAAGAACTACGATAGACGAGTATAGGACCGATCAATTTTCTGGGGGAGTACTTAAAAACGAAAACAAAAAGTGAAACTTAAAACGGTCTCCCAACCAAACTCAAGAACAGATTTTACAGTGATAACAATATATGCGATAATTAAGGATATTTAGATCCTGTTAACTGCTTCACGCACATTTACTAATTACGGTTACGGTTTAAGAACTTTGAAAACATTAAGATATACGAGTATAATTTGCTTTGCACCACGACGACTACACACATGTAATAAAAGCCATGTAGTAGGCGCTTCAATAGGCCCAGCCCCCAGCACTTACCCCGGGCGTTATCATCATTTGTATGGGCAGACCCTTTTGATTCGATGCCAGCGTCATATCATCCTCGGCGACTTGTGAGCTCGCCCCTCCTTCCTGTACACTGCTGGTTGTTGCCAAAGCCTGGACAGCGCTCGTGGCAGCCACTACAGCCAGATTATTGGCAGCTGTTGCTCCAGGACCAAGTTGCAACTGTTGTTGTTGCTGTTGCTGTTCCTGTTGTTGCTGCTTCTTCTGTTGCTGTTGTTGTTGCTGCTGTTGTTGTTGTTGCTGTATCAAAGCCTGCTGCTCACGTTTGTAGCTCTCCATGGCCATCATGGATGTTTGCCGTGCATTTGGATTATCGAAGCTATAGGGCGGTGCAGCATCCTGCTCGGAACTGGAAGTTCGACGCTGTACAGGAAAGATAATTGAAAAAAAGTGATTTTAGTGAAAAGACTTGAAAGTTAGAATCCACACTAGGATAAAGTAAATCCTCTGCCATACATCCATAGCTTGTATCACATGTCTTTTGGTTGGCATCATCAACCCATCATACGTCAATACGTTTTGATAACATGTTAATCATTTCTCTGTCGTATACGTATTACCTTATAATTTTTCTTTAAATTGTCTATCATTTATATTTCAGCTGCGAATAATTATCTGTCTACCGTTTGTTGATAGATTACGTATTTCCTGTCTGTCTTTAATTCAATAGTCATTTTGTTTATTATATATTTATTATCTATATATCATACATTTTTCAAAATGACCCAAAGGAACATCTGTTCATGCAATAAACATATATTAAAAGTATTTCCTTATCCTTAATTATGTTAATTATCAACTATGTTTCATCTATCTGTCATATGGCAATCATTGATCTATCTTCAATCTATTATCTGTCTATCATTTATCTACCCTCTATCTATCATCTATCTATCTGTAATCTATCTAACATAAATTTATTATCTATCTAACCTCTATCTATCACCTACCTATCTGTAATCTTTCTACCATCTATGTGTCATCTATCTATCATCTATCTGTCAACTATCTATCATCTATCTATCATCTATCTATCATCTATCTATCATCTATCTATCATCTATGTGTCATCTATGTGTCATCTATCTATCATCTATCTATCATCTGTCTATCATCTTTCTTTCATCTATATATCATCTCTCTATCATCTATATATAATCTTTCTATCATCTATATATCATCTATATATCATCTTTCTATCATCTATCTATCATATACCTATAATCTATATATCATAGGTATCATCTATTTATTTTCTATCTATTATCTCCTTATCTCTTGCTCATGTGTTTATAGCTCGAATATCTACCCTCTATCTATCATCTATCTATCTATCATCTATCTATAATCTATATATCATCTATCTATCTATCATCATCTTTCTATCATATATATATCATCTTTCTATAATCTATATATCATCTTTCTATCATCTATCTATCATCTATCTATCATCTGTCCATCATATATCTATCATCTTTCTTTCATCTATATATCATCTCTCTATCATCTATATATCATCTTTCTATCATCTATCTATCATATACCTATAATCTATATATCATAGGTATCATCTATTTATTTTCTATCTATTATCTCCTTATCTCTTGCTCATGTGTTTATAGCTCGAATATCTACCCTCTATCTATCATCTATCTATTTGTAATCTATCTAACATAAATTTATCATCTATCTATCATCTATCTATCTATCATCTATCTATAATCTATATATCATCTATCTATCATCTATCTATCTATCATCTATCTATCTATCATCATCTTTCTATCATATATATATCATCTTTCTATAATCTATATATCATCTTTCTATCATCTCTCTATCATATACCTATAATCTATATATCATAGGTATCATCTATTTATCTTCTATCTATTATCTCCTTATCTCTTGCTCATGTGTTTATAGCTCGAATTTTGATTGCTCTAATATTTTGTAGTGTGCTTTACATTTGAAATTGTTTAAACAATAAATAAAAAATTTACCACCCTTTGCTGGCCTTGGGCCTGGCTTTGCCTTCTCCCCTCTTAGCCTGGCCCAGCCCCGAAAAAACTTACGTGTTGCAAATTCGAGTTGCGCAGATTGGCTACGTGCTCGTAGTTCTTGTAACAGCCTGTCCCTGTGGTTGCCGGATTGCGGCCACTGGTCGACTCGCCTTCCGTGCTGTTGCCATCCGTTTGCGAGAGATTGTGTCCTGTGGGCGATCGGCGTAGCGCGTGTGTTAAACGGTGCCAATTTTTAAGTGATCGAGTGTGACTCTCGCGCTTTTCTGCATTGCGTGTGTGTGGTGGTGTGGGTGGGTTGTTGTGTGAGTGTGTATGTGTGTATTCGGGGTAGGTGTAAGTTGGGTATATATGTAGATAGCGCGGCATTTAAGTTTGAATGTTAGGATTGTTGGTTTTAGATTTTTGTTGGATTTGTTGTTTTGGTTAGTGTTGTGTTTGTGGTTTTTGTTGGTTGTTTTTTTTTTTTTTATTTTTTATTTTTCGGTAGCGCACGCAAAAAGCCATGAATGCATTTTGTCGCCATTTTCATTAACAAAATTGTTTCCGCGGTTTTGTAATTTTCAACAAAACATATATATTGGTTTTATTCGCATTTGTTTTTGCCGTTTTGTTGTATGTTTGTGTGGTGTGTAGAACGCCATTTTGTGCATTGTTTTTTTTTTTTTTTGTTTTTGGTTTAGTTCGATATTTGTTGAAAATGAATTAGAGCAGTTTCGTTTTGTTGTTGGGCGCAAATGAAACGTTTTGTCAAATCAAAAAAAAAAGGAATAAAAGAAAGAGATATGAGTTTCATGAATGCCGTTATATGTATGTTAAGCTGTTAATATATTTAATGAAACCATAAAAACGACAACGACCATAACGACGACGACGACGACGACGTTAGATGTTAGACGACGATGACAACGATGGTGTTGACGGTCAAATTTTAAGTAATTAGTAGTAAGTTACAGTAAAACAACATCGATTGGTCAACAGCTTGGGGGCACGGTACGACGTTAATATGTAATTGGTTTGGTTAGTTAGCTAAATATTGTAGCTATATTAAAAATCCATTTTAATATGAATATACGATTATAACATGTTATACATGTCGTAATAAATGCAATGTGTTAACAAATTCGTTAGTAGTGAGTAGTATTTGTGTAACAACAACAACATTGAAATTATTTATAACAGTTTAATTAGCTAGTGGTTTAGTTGTTTTACTTTAAACGTGAGCTACATATAGATATAATACTTGTTAGTTATACACACATAACGAAAATAATATATTGGTTAAAGTACTATTAACACTTATGAGAGATAGAATAAATTGAATTAGGTATCCAATTGAGCACAGACTGTGCCAAAGAGCTAAACCAGTATTGAGAACAATGTTTAGGTGCATAATGGCAGCGTCTTGGCTGGAAGACTTGTCAATAGTAATAACTTACAATAAATTTATAAACATTTATCGCTGGAGGAGAATTGTAGGTACGTATTAAAGTCCTGCATGTGTGTGTGAAGAAAGCAATTCTAGACGGAATGTGAATGTGTTCCAAAATGTGTTTTCTAGGAAATAATTTTCCTATCTATCATTAAAATCTTAGTTTTTTTTATCTATCTATCTATCGTCTATATGTATAATTTGTACATCTATGCAAACAATTAAAGGTTGAATTCAGTTTTATCTATCTATCATATATGTAAAATTTTTAAAATACATATTTATATATTATTATTCTATCTAGAGTCCATTCTACGCTGAATAAGGCTTAAAATTATGTCAATTGAATGCGTCTCAAAATTTTTTAAAATAACAGCCACCAATTGTCTACATTTGATCAATAATTTATTTGGTATTCTATAAACCACCATTTTTCTTTTTCTTATTACCATTTTTTTTTGTCATATACTAACTAAATATGTATAATATAATTTTTCTGTGTCAGACTTTATTTAAAATCTATCCAGCTAAGTGCCTTTTCATCTATTCTCTAAGATAACATCAGTCCAATCACAAAGAAGATGATCGGTGATTCTTATATACATCCTTCGACTTTTCTATTCAAGGATTCATTGTTAATCAATTGATGTTACCTAAAACGATATATCGAACCATTTTAATTATATTCGTTAACCATTACGTATTTTCGTTGAAGGTTTCTAATACTTAAACTAAATCTGGTATTTAAATTTATGTCAATTGATATATCCAATCATTTTAAGAATTTGCGACTTGTACCATCATGGGTTACTCAATATTGCTAGATATTATAGTATTTTTCTTGAGAGATAAAGAAATATTCTTTTACAAATTTTCAATATGAGCTCGTGCAGGGCTCTTATATTATGTCCTTCCAAATCATTCCGCTCCATTTATTGAATCATTCATCCATTAACGTTTATTTTCGGAGTAATCATCATATTGTCAGATATGTGGTGAAATAGCTTCATTCATCTTTATCGTATTTTGTTTATTGACTCACAATTGAAATGAAATTTGAATGAAATGGAACTATATATACTAATGCAAATAAATACAATTAGAACACATATTAATTAGTCATGTTCTTTAGATATTCATTGCGTACTCTACTTTGAGCTTGTCTTAGTTAAATTGCTTTCCATGCAGGGCTTTAATATGTAAGTATGTATAAGCTATCCTTTTCGAATTAAAATTTCAATGGACTGTTCGAAAGTTGTTACATTTTCCTCTAACGCAAGATCGATGAAAATTATTGAAAATAAAGCTGCAAGTATTATTAAATGAATATTTGGATGATTGATTGATTGATTGGTTGACTGGTTGTTCAAATTTGCGAACTCTGTGTGGTTGTTTTTGATGATTAACTCTAACAAACTCGGCAAAAAACAAATGTACGAAACACCTAATTGGAACGCTAACGCATTTAATACGAGCAGGTTAACTCATTCGTATGTTTGGTAGGCAGGTAACTTGAAAGCAAAAGCACATTTCATGGTCATTTACGCAACTCATGTTTTGGTTATTATTCTGGTCTTTGGATATGGTTAAATACTGAACTAAAAACAAACATAAAACTATATGAGCAATAGTTGTTGATATTTATTTCCTTAGAAAACTTGCACAATGGGCACAATATGATAATATGATGAGCAAAAAGGTGTTTTTCTTGTTTGTCTTTGATTGAAGCTGCAAAGATTATGCTTTAGTTTTGGTGAATTGAAAAAGACAACCAAAATAATAAACTCGAATGGTTTTTCCCTCTGCATCGTTGGGGGGACACCACGGTAAATGAAAATAAATTTTGTAGTTTACCTTTTTGTTGAGACTAAAATGAAGAGTTCAAAGCTTGACAACGCAGGCGTACATTTAAAGTAAAGCGAACACTTTAAGAGCTTGTCAAGATTTAAACACGCTTTAGTTTGATTTGGTTAGTTAAGTCAAAAATGAAAACAGTTAGATTAAGTTCTAAGACACAGATAGTATAAATAATTTGTACAATGAAATACAGCGTATTAGGTTTTGGTTTTATTGCTAATTCACAGACACACAAAGTTTACGTCTTACAGTAGTACACAAAAGTATGGGTACAGACACAGTTGTTGTTTGGGAGTATTAGTAGCTATATTTATGTTGTTCATATACATATTATATAATGTATTGCTTGAGCATAAAGAGCATAGAGTTTTGGTTTTTTTTTTCCATTTTTTTCTATAGTAGTTATGTTAGAGGGTGCATGCAGCGTAGAGATAAGAAATGATTCGGCCAATTTGTAGGTTTTAGTATAAACAAGTCAGAGACACACACAGAGAGAGTAAACAAAAGGAGTTTCGAGTCATCAACGAATATAGGAAGTATAAGTAAAAGGCACGTAAAGGCTTTTCAAAATGAAACATTGTCCTCTGAAATGTTCGATGTATGTATGTTTTTGAGAAACTTGTAGATCAATGGAATTTTTAGCGCAACGTAAACAGCACAATGATAGAAATTTGCGAACACAATCAAATCAATTAATTATAAAGGCAAGGCGGCAATTTTTAATTGCTATTAAAAGTAAAGATTTGGATTTATAATAATGCTTAATCAAAATCAGCCTATATATACTATATATATATATATATATATATATGTATATATTTTATGTATATATATTTTTCTTATATAATTTCATTTAACTGCTCAGCACATTTAGATTACTGGTCTAAAATTCTCCTCTCATTTCATTTGCTTAACATAAACGTTGTGCTAGGCTTCGTTCGTATTGATTATACTTATTTGTTTGTTTGTTTTATTTTCGATATCTGCTGCAAACTAAGCGCATTTAGCTTTAAATAAGGCATTTGGTTTTTGGTTAGTATTGGTTTGGTTTTTAGCATTTTAGGAACGTTCATGCCATAATTTGCTAATTTTGCTTTCGCATTTTAATTATATATTTGTTGTTTTCGTAAGTGTTGTATATAGACGCGCATTCGGCTCGCCGCTCACTAAATTATATAAATTAACTAAGCTTATATTCGGCTCGATTGCTACACAGCTAAGTTCATAAATAAGGCTGGTATTTTGTTTTGCACGCACAAAGATGGCCGCTTAAATTATGCTGGCTACCTCAGTACTTGGCTACAATTTTGCTGTCTTTTCAATTTTTGGAGGGATTCGCTTATTCGCCTAAAGCTATACCCTTGCAGAGCGTTTCAGACTGGTAAATAGAGGGAAATCACAATATATTTTAAAACATCATGTCATCACAACATAACCAAAGAAAGGGTTTTCTTTATATATATTTGTTTTGCATTTTCAACATATTGGGGAACATATATTATTATATCACGACTATACTCTACAGTTGGTAACAAGCGCTCATAAATTTTTCATGTACACATATTTAGTAATATTTTTAAAACTGATTTTAAAATTGTCATAGACTGGGTTACCTGAGATAGGTGTTTCTGTGAAGATTTTTATAGTGTCTTATATATTTTTAAGTATGATTAATATTTTATTCATCCATTGAAATTAAAAATGTTATTATGAACATTAAGAAATCTATAATATTCCAATTTGGATAATATTGACTGCAAAATCCTATTTTTTGAACAAGTTTTTAAATAAATATCGAGAAATCAATTACAATATTTCGACATAAAAGAAAAAACGTTGGTTTTGTGCAGATTTTTGTTGTTTCTTGTATTTTTGTGGTGCATTATATAAGTAAATATTTAAAAGTATGTGAGAGAATTACTTCATAGCAAGTGAATGCTTAGAATACAGATATTTCGACGACTGACTGAAATTCTGTTTCGAAAATTTTTCTACAGCACCGAAAATATGGGAATTTATAAATGAATGTACCGAGCTAAAAATGTAGATTTAGATTTACACATTATCTTATTCATTCAGGCATGATAAATAACTTCGTTTTCATAGCTTCATTATCATTAAGTTATATTATACACATAGTTGTATGTGTATAAATTTCAATTCTGTTAAAATTGAATACCCTAACTGTTATTTTGAGCAGAGTAGCTGACCAGAAATATTTTAGTAGATTGCGCTCTAAAGCTTCTGCAAGGGAATATTATATTCGGCTTACCGAAATAAAAATTTCTTTTTGTTTGTTCAACAAATGTCCTGGAATGCTAATAGCTAGCAATTAGGCCTAGGTATAAACTAACTACGTTTAGACTAAATTAAAATTGTGCTTACGCGGATTGTTTTCAAATTTTGCTTGCACGCTCATCGATTACAACATCTTCACACAGCTTCTTATACTCTCCCACAGACACACACACACGCACACTATGAGTGTAGATAGAGAAATAAACTTCAAGGAACACTGTTTTTTGAAACTTATTTCCCTAGCCACCACTTTATTGAGAGACATTTTGCCTTGATTTGCAGCTTGAAAGTTTTGCTCAAATGAGACTTAAAATGAAAAAATTATATTTTTATGTTAAACCAAAATAGTGCTAAATCAAATGGCATAACCAGCTGCTGATAATATATGTGACATATATTTATATGATGTATTCAAACAAATCACAGACATCAGCAATTTTGAGGCTGATGTGAACATTGAAGTTTCTTCATCGACATTTTAATAACATTTTCAAGTGCTGATGGCATTTAAGTAGCTTTCAAATAAAACAATTGAGAGGGAAAGAGTTACAAAAGTACAATTAGCAAAACTTTCAATACAATTGGAAATGATTTAAGGCATGCGCAACGGTGCGTATGCGCAATGTCTCAGCGGCTACAAGCAGCATGTAACTATGTGTGTGTGTGTGTGTGTTTCAGTGTTTGTATGTGTGTGTGTGTGTGTGTGAAAAGGAGTGTATGTGTGTTTGTATCTTATCAGCATTTAGAATTAATCACAACAATAAATTTATTTATTTTCTGTTTCCATGTTTTAAAAGCCCGTCCTAAGCGCATTTAATTCGTTAAACTTTGGAAGCCAATGACAGCGATTTGTAAGCCAAGAAACTTAGCTAAAACTAACATACGTGTACAAATGCTTTGTATATAAGGTATGTATGTATGTTCGATTTGGAGGAGTGTCATGTAGGAAGTACTTTGTGGCTTTTTTATACTCTTTTACATTACTACAAGTAACGACGCGGCTTACAATTAAACGACTTTGTTTCGACTAAAACTATAACAATTATAGCATGGCTGTGGAAGTACATTGTGGTTGGTAGGTTGGTATGTGTGGTCTGTGTGTGTGTATAGGTTTGTTTGTTTCTGTGTGTGTGTGTGTGGGTTATAACAATTTGCATTGACTAATTTACATTTACAATAGCAATTTCATTAAATATCTTCTTGTGTTTTCTAATCTCCCGTATTTGTTTGTTGGTTTGTTTGTTTTCTATGCTACATATTTGTTTTTCTGCTCAATGGGCTGTGGTTGGGTTGTTGTTGCTGTGGTTGCTGCACTCTAGCGGCTGTCTTCATTATCACTGGAGCTATTCTGCTGCTGGGCGTCGCGCTCCTCCAGCAAGCTGCGGTTCAGCTCCTGTATGCGTGCCGAGAGCGCGCGACGGCGCGGAGTGCCAAACGAGGGCAAGGGCGGCGGCTCAATCAGTGTGTTTTTCTCGCCTAGGCCGATGGCCGAAAGGCACCAAGAGAGCGTTTCAATTATAATTAGCAACGAAATTCAAATTGAGTTATTGTTATTGTGTACGTGTTGGAGTAGTTGTGTGTGTGGGTGTGGGTGTGTTTGTGTGTATGTGAGGCATTAAGTGAAGTGAAAGTTGAAATTGAAGTGAGAAAGTAGTCATTTCAAATGTCGTTTTCAGAGTTTTATTCAATGTCAACAGTGTGATAAAAAGGTAGAAAAAGAAGAGCAGAGAAAAGAAGAAGTTGAACAGTTTCGTTTTTATTTATGTATGTAGTATATGAGAGATACCATATAGAGTATATAAGTAGCACAAAATTGCCAAGCTTGAAGGATAGACTTATAATCATTGCGTGTATTTTTGTTTCATTCTGCAAATACATAATTCTATCCCACGCTTCAGATGTGGTTTCTTTCTTTTCATTGCTAAAAATTCAAACTACAAGTAGCTAGAGAAAAAATTATAAGTATACATATATTCTAGGTGAGTATATATATCTTTATGTAATCAGCACTTGAAAATTCACTAAAATGTTGAACATACTTAAATTTTTCTTTTCGTTTTGTATTTTTTTTTTTTTAACTTTAATAAAACTTTGATAAATCAAATTCTAGATTGAACATTCAAATTTTCTATTTGTGGTTATATTCGGTAAACTTTTGCAATAATTTTGATGGTAACAATTTTGCAATCGATTGATTAAAACTAAAACTTTGCATAAGTATACTGCAGAGAATACAAAACTAATTGATGAAGTTGAAGGAAGCAAGGCAAACTTAAACTTAAAGATGGCAACAAATCGTTGAGCTAAATTGGATCATTTGTAGCATACTTTGTGGCTAGATCGGGGGTATACGAGTATAATGGGCCTTGCGAAAACTGAACTTTCTACGATAACACTATGCAACAATAGGGAAAAATCAAGCTCTTTCTTTTTTAAATATATATATTTTATTATCGAATCGTATTTTTGTTCAAATCATTTGTAAATCTAAGTTTAATTAAAAAAAATGTAAAGTATATATTATTTGTAAGTTCAATATTATAAATGAATATTTAAGTTTTTTTTTATAATTTTATAGGTTCTGAAAATAGGTGTTCAATATTTATTTATCCAAAAATTATTAAAATTATAACTTTGCCAAATAAGTAGTAAGTAGTAGTAAATAAGTAGTAAGTAAAAAACTCAATACTATTTCATTTTTCATTTTCGTTCGAAAGCTTACTTTATAAATTCGTTTTACCTTTTTCCGGTGAAATGGCAATAAAGTGAGTGAAAGAACATAAAATTGACTTTTAGGAATAAGTAAAAAAATACATTTCAATTGATTTTAAAATAGTCTGTTCAAAGTTTAAAAATTTTTACCAAAATTGTAAAAGAATGTATATATATTTTTTTTAAATTTCAAGTTTTGAAAACTAAGACGTGTATTTAGGCTTAGAAAATATTACAGTCTTGTTGCATAATGTTATTTACTATTGATTTAAGTAACTAATACTGGATAACTTGAAACACCTGCCTAGAAGAGAAAAGAGTAGGAGAAAGTAGAAGCAAAGGCATTTACATTGCTGTTGGCACATCTGTGCAACATTATACGTATTAGTAAGTATTGAGAAGGGAGAATGTGTTCTTGTGTTTATATACGGGTTAAGTGTATTATAGAATAAGAATTGAGTTCAAATGGAAAGCAACATTTTTGTTGGTTTATTGGATTTTTGTGAGCATGTGGTTTTTGTCTTTGCTGCTAGCTAAATATTACGTAAGCGCTTATATATGTTCAATAACTACAAATTGGTACTGTTGAGTGATTTGTTGCTTGATTGATTTGCTGATTGCTTGATTGGTTATACGCTACGTATACGCAATTTTAGTCACCTGGAGCGGTTTGAACGTCAAGAGTTTGCCTGCCTATATTGGGTGTGCTTTGTCTTTTACCTTTCGGATGTACGACATTAGTTTGCTTTCCTAAAATAAAAGGGCGGTTTTTTGTTGTACGTATTTTGATTAGAAGAGAGGTGGTATTTGTTTTAAACAATATGTGTTGCCTGCTCTAAGGCGCACTTTATACAGCCGTGTGTGTATATATATATGTGTGTGTGTGTGTTTGGCCGTGTTTCGTGTGCGCTTCTAGGCATTTGCACAATTGAAATGCTCACTAATACCTTGTAGAATGCGTTAAGTACAAAAGCATTTACCTAATTGTCTGACTGATTTGCAGACAGACGGTGTACGCGTGGGTGTGTGTTTATCTGTGTGTGTGTGTGTGTGTGGGTCTTAGTGTTGGATTTGGCATTAAGTAGGCGCCCGCATTATGTTCGGGTCAAAGCTATGGCTTTGGCTTTGGCTTAAGGCGACTGCTAAGTACTTAGCTATGTAGTTGTTGTCATTACGAGTATATCAAATGCCTAAGTGGCTAAAGAAAACTTAAACGTTATTCAATTAATACTTAACTAGTTTACAATTTGAATTATCAATGATAAACAAAATTAAAGATGCTCGAAAATTTCTATCATTATACGGCAGCGTTGCTTTTACGGCCGCTATAGAATAAGTATATACACGACTTCACAAAGAGGTCTCGAATATTCACAAAAGAAATTTGAAAAAATGAAACTCATGTTATGAGAAGCACAAAAAGGACATGCAAGCGACAACATAAAACAGAGAGTGAAGATAAAACGATATAATTATTAATAGCGTACAGTTAGCATAGCATAGCAATACGAGTATATAGAAATGAAAAGAGCACTATGGTACGTACAAATTAGTATTAAGTTTTGAAGGAATTAGGCATTGAAATTTGCGAATTTTGTTCACTTACCTGTGTCAACAATCACATCGATGAGATCCATGGACTTGGCGAACGCATCTTTCAGATTGATATGATGGAAGGAGACAATGCTGCCCTCGCGTTTGGCACGATCGAGCGCCTCGCGCCGTTTCAGGGCCTTTTCGCGTCGCATCTGATTCTTATAAAATTCAGCAAAATTGTTAACGATGATGGGAATAGGCAAAGCGATTACCAGAACACCGCATATGCAACACACAGTCCCAATAACCTTTCCCAGTGCAGTTGTGGGATAGATGTCCCCGTAGCCAACAGTTGTCATTGTAATACCCGCCCACCAAAATGTTTCCGGTATTGAAACAAATTTTGTATCCTTTTCATCCTTTTCGGCAAAATATGCCAGCGAAGAAAATATGAGAACGCCCATGGCCAGGAACAGCATTAGTAGACCGAGTTCCTTATATGAGTTACGCAGCGTAAAGCCTAACGACTGCAGGCCCGTTGAGTGACGGGCCAGCTTAAGGATTCGCAGGATGCGCATGATGCGGAATACTTGCACCACCCGGCGCACATCCTGGAACTGGTCCGTTGCATTCTTATTCGTTTCCAATAAAAATAACGAAACAAAATATGGGAGTATTGCCAATAGATCGATTATGTTAAGGCCGCCCTTAAAGAACTTCCACTTGTCCGGTGAGGCGCTAAACCTAAGTATGTACTCTAGGGTAAACCACGTAATACACACTGCCTCAACCATTGCCAATTGCGGATTATCCTGTGGTGTACCATTGTCAATGTGTTGTAGTTGTGGTAGGGTGTTCAACGTCAGGGCTATGGTAGACAGGACTATGAATAGTATGGATATCACTGCGATAACCTGTGAACGGTAAAGAATAATCGAGACTTTGTCGAGACCATCATCAACAACAACAACAACAACAACAGCACTTACATCACAACGATTATACGATTATCGATTATACGTATAAGTATGTCAATATAAGTCAAGTATGTAGCTATGTAGTTTGGTAAATACAATTCAATTCACAAAACAAAGTTACAACAACGAACAGTTGCTTGGATTTCTGTTTTTCTAGTATTATTTATAAAGTTCATTCAAAACGTTGTCAAGCGTTTTGGAAGAGGGGGGTCTAGGGGTAGTTGGAAAAGAAAGAAGCTTTCAACGTGAATAGAAACAATCGTTTGTCGGAAAAGAGGCAAGCGCCTCCCCAGCAAACATTCTGCATTAGCTCTGATCTTGGAGAGCTTTGAAATTTACCATCAATATTGTTATTATTATTAGTAATGTTATTATTTCAAGATACAATGATGATCTCTTTAGTGTTAGTAAGTTTCAGAATCGCTCTGACGATTGTTGTTGGTCACTCTGTTGCAATAAAAAGCTCTTGGTCTTTCAACAGTTTCTAGTTGTATAACAATTTGGGGTTTTTAGATACGCGTTTCAGATGCGTTGGTTGTTGGGGGGGGGGAGTTTCGTTTCATACTTTAATTCATTTTGCTTTCTTCTTCTGGTACTATACAAAGGCTGCTGTATTATGTGAAGTATATCATTTTTGTAATCCTTCTTTACTTCTACAAACTGAAGCATTCAACTTAAATATGTCAACGAAAAATTGAAAGGAATTCCAAATCAGGTTGTGATTATCATTAAAAATTAAAAAACCGTTGCTAGACACTTGAGGTTAGTTTAGATAAGTATTTTTGTCTAAAAGTAACTTGAGGTCTTCAAGCTGGCTCTCTCCATTGTTGTATTGATGTGTTTAATATTTAGATGTGGTGTGTGGATGTGTCTGTGTGTGTGAAGTGCATGTGAGGCATGTTATAGAATAGTTGTAAGTGGTCGGAGTTGGACAGTGGTGGCTAATACGCTATAGTCTATATATTTGTATATTGATTTGTGTAATTGTGTCGTTGGACGTAACACATGACATAACATATTTTGATAAACATATATAAATCGCAACACACTTATGTAAATTGCTGTCTCTAAAGGAGTGTTTGCTTTATCAAACAAAACATAACAATCTATGGCTGATCTGCTCTAAAGACAGTATTAAATAAGAGACGCTACCATCGGGTCTGCAGTCGACATTTCTTGTTATCATTCATTATTCTCACTTTATCGAAGAAACGCGTTTTGTGTTATTGTTTCTGTTTCTGTTTCTGTATCTGTTTCAGTTTCTGTAACATTGTCTGTGTTCTTTGAGAAAACAAATAATTTTACATAAGTGTTGTAGATGAATGAACTGAAGGTTGTGACTGACTATAGTTACGCTATATCTCATAAAAACGTTCTAGCAAATTACAAAGAAAATTCAAATTCAATGCATAAATTTCGTAACAAACGAGCTAGAAATTACTTAGAAGGAGGAAACCATAAAATATATAAATGCATTTGACCATCAAATAATTGCGTCAGCTGTCAATTTGTTTAGAAAAATGATAAATAAATTGGTCTAATTAAACTTGCAATTATTTGAGGGTCACGCGCAGCTCTTCTCGAGCAAATTCGATATTTAAATGCAAATTGTAAGGAAAATATAAAAGATTTCAATTCAATAGAATTTACGAAAGTTTTTCTTTAAATATTTTATGTAATTTACTAAAAACTGCAATTTGCATTTTGTATGCCTTGTTTGTTTGAGGTCTGCAACTGATTATGCTATGCATCTGTGTATACAAGTGTATGTATGTCTGTATGTGTGACTGACTATGTATGTGTGTGTTTTACATTTTGAAGTGGCCAAATGTCAAAATGTTGTGACAGTTTCAATGCCAGCGACAACAATAATAAGAACAACAATAGCTGCTCGGGCAGCAAGGTGAGCTCAAAGTCTGTTCTGATCTGATTGCCACATTTTCACATGAATGCCTGTAAATGTCTTTTTATATGTATGCCGTGTGGCATATGTGTATATATACATATGTATATATGTGTGTGTGTGTGACATTTGACTTTGGGTGCAGCTCAGAGCAGACACAATTCGTTGCCAAGTAGATGAGGTGCGGCAGCCGACACATCATTAAATTGGGAAAACCTTTTAAACAATTGACAGAATTGCTTGCTATGGTTTATTTAACACGTGTGGCGCCACGCCCACTCTTACCACACACACACACACACACATTTGTAGGCAGGACTATGTGTTTTATATGTGTAAAAATGTGCAGTGTTCGGAAAATTACTTAGGTAAGGCGCAAGGTTAACGGATAATAATTGATCATGAAAATTGCAACATTTTTCTTTAAAGAGTATTCAAGTAAGGTTGGAGCTGCTTTAAGCTCACTTTTAAAGTACATTAGTACTAGAAAATATGAGCTTCTGTACCAAGCTAAGGGAAAGGTACCTTAACCAACACATTTCTTCATTAAGTAAAGTGAGTGCAGCACAAGATAGGAAAAAAGTTGATGGATTTTGTAATTCTTTGAAATACCAAAACTAATGCCACATTTCATCAGCAGCAGGAATTGGTACTAAAAATTGGCACTTAAAAAAACACCAATGATGTACTTATAATTACAAAATCATTTCCGAACACTGGCTAGTATGTGTATGGGCATGAAAGTGTATTTCTTGGCTTTCTAGCGCAAAAGTGTGTCCACATCTACCATAGTAGGCCACTGTACGCAACCACGCAAGTTTTAGGCTTTAAAGCCGTTTCGAAAACAACATTTAAAATTTTGCATGGTGGTATTTAAAAAAAATTTCTTTCATAAGTTTTAGAGCTGGGTAGTTTTTTTTAAGTAAAATTTATAAACAACAGAGCAGCTCCTTTTGAAAGACTACATCCGCGATAAAAAATTCTGTAAATGGCATACTAAGCTACAGTTTTCGTTGTTAGATTATGTTACTTATAGAAGAGTATATTTTACTTAGAGTATGTATTTGGAATATGAGAAATAAAATTAAATAAATCTCTAAATTACCATAACAGATTTGATTAAAAACAATATAGAAATCAGTATAAAATGGAACCCAAAATGGAAGTCAAATAAAATTCATTCAAGTTGAATGGTGCTATCATTTGGCAGCTATCAGCATTACATAGGATGACAAGTAAAGGGGTAATAGAGAGAGATAGATAGATAGAGAGAGAGAGAGGTAGTGAGATAGTACAAACAGAGATAGATAGAGAGGGGGGAGAGAGGAGCATATACGATGCGAGTATTCCAAAGTTAATTTATTTACACTGCTTGCTGGCCACAAACAATTGCAATTTAAGTGGTCTCTGTCGTTAAGAAACTGTCAAACTTCGGGAAAGTTAATTAAATTCAGTACAAGGGGGTTATGGGGGTTGGCATGTGGGGAAAAAGAAGGGTACAACTTGCTACTAAAATGTATGCATGATTGCAATTTACATTGGAAATTTTGTTGTTGACAACTACTAGTAGTTTCTGTAGCTATCTATGGTCAGAATAATTGATTTGGCTTTCGCTTTTGAACAGAATGCATTGGAAATGTTGTAACATAAAACTGATTGTACGGGGGGTTGTGCGAATTTTGGAACTGCTACCACTGCTGCTCAGTCATGAAGGGAGATTTGAACGTAAAAAACATGAATAGAATACGCTAAAGGCGCAGATATACTTAATTAAAACGCCATTAGGCTAGATTTGCTATACACTGAAGAGAAGCAACTAAAAATGTCAAATACTTATACTCTAAACTAAAAATGTATTATTGAATAAAATGCAGCGTTTTTTTTTTTTTCTTTTTTTTTTGAAACAACAACTAGAAGCGCAGCCCGTGCTCAAAGCGTGAGCTCAAAATTGCAAATGCAGTATCTTTTTGTTAGCCTACAAAAGTGGCCCTAAAAAAACAATGAAAGCGACTGACAACAGATTTACAAATATGGTAGATTGAGAGTAGTATAAAAAAAGATGAGGTTTTAGGGCCAAAATTTATATTAACTTCCCTGAGCTTGCTTTGCTTAGCTCGTTTTGGTAGTTACAAATTGTTTTTCTTATCCACTTGAATTACAAAATATGGCGATTTTGGGCACACTTAAGTAGTAAGTAGAAGATAAACAAGTAGTTGTGACAAAAATCAAAAATCGAAAAGAAACAAAAATAGAAACAAAGGAATTCATTTTATAAAATGCTGACCAACAAATGGTGTGTCAAACGACATGCGGCAAGAAGTAGTTGTTGGAGGGGAAAATTACTTATAACTACAAATGTATATAAAGAAGATACTTTTATACACATACATACGTACGAGTAGAGATACAAACATACCAAAATATATATATTTATATATGCATTTGGGCTATAATAGTAACGTGCATACGAAAAAAGTTCTGAGTGTTGCAAAACGAATAATGAAACATTCAACGTGCAGAAACACGCCTCTTGAGGCGCCGTACACCATTTAAAAATTGTTGTTTGGCACTTTTTGGGTTTGTCTTCTTCATTTTTTTTTTGTTGTGGCTTTGGGGGTGAGTGTTGGGGAGGGTGGTCAGAAATTCAATAAAAACAACAACAAATGAGCAAGGACCAAAGTAATGTAACGAGTACCGTCTTGCTTGAAATACTACAAAACTAACTTGCTAAATTTGTAATCAAGTTTGTTGCGATTGGTTTATTGGATTTGGGGTTACGGATACGGATTTAGGAGATTAGCGGTTGAGTGTTATTGTTATTGTTCACAGTTTGATTTGAGAAGGGTTTGGGTTTGGGTGGAGGCGGTTGTTGGTTGGTGGGTGCATGATTTGGTTCGCATACTTTGTTCGACTCACTAAAAAACAAACAAAATTTGATACAAACGGCTATAGAATTTAGTACAACCGACTACAAAATTCTATGCTAGAGCATACAAATGCAGCAAATTTGGTGGGTTAATATTTCAAGTAGGTATTTATTCAAAGTTCTTTTAATTTGTAAATATTTTGGTTACAGTCCTTGGAAAAGGTAATTTAAAACAGTGGTAAGAGAAACAGGCTACAAAACAAACAAATAATTTTTTAATGTATTTTCTTCTTCCTTTTTTTATAATTTCTGGGCTAAAATAATAGATATATTTTGTTTTAGCCATAGACGAGGCGCAGTCTTAGCTACTTCTTTGAACATCACTGTAGTGTAAGTATTTGTGTGTATCTTGAAAGGTTGGAATTTTTAAATGTTTTTCTTAGAGAAGAAGCCAATTAATGAGTACAACAATTGAAAAACAATACAAAAAAAATTAAAAACAACAATTACAGATTCAATTTTATTGTTTTTGTTTTGGGTATGCAATAGACATCAAGACATCAAATACGGCAAACATTTAGAATATAAACACATATGTATGTATATCTATTGTAAATTGTGTGACGCTAAACAACACATAAATGAACACAAAATGGAGTACACAGTAATTAAAACATTTAGCTGGTTTGGAGCTGTTTTGTATTTTGTTGTATTTGTTATTTGGTATTTGGTGTATAACAAACAAACTATGTTGGTAATTATTTAACTCGTTGTTTGTTTTGTGAACGCGCGTATATAATTTTTTTGTTTCAGTTTCGGGAATATTTTTGGAAATTGCCTCTTCTTACAAGGCTAATGAGCGAGAGAGAGAGAGAGAGAGAGAGCGAGAGAGAGCGAGAGAAAGGTGGAGCGAAAGAGCACCGTTCACTGTTTTTTCTGCAAGTATTGTGTTGGTTCTCATATTTATCTTTTTTCGTTTTCAAAAAGGATGTGTTTAGGCGGAGTATTAAAAAAAACTAAAAACATACACAACTTAAAAGTTTGTTATTCGGGGTTTTTTCTCTTCTGACTTTTGTTAGTAGTTGAAGAAAAATTGAACATAAAATGTTTAAAAGTACAACTGGCAAAGAGCTCTGGAAATTTTTCATTACCTTTGGCATAAATGACAAAATAAAAATCATGTGGTTTATGTGTTTTGCCTGTGAAGAGCGTCTAAAGAGCTTTTCATGTTTGTATTGGCATTGAATTATGTGAATAATTTGTTGTTCCGTTTTTTCTTGGCACTATGAAATTATATACATATGAAAATAGTGCTTGTGCGAATTTCTTAGAAAATAAAGGGTGTTTTCTTTCAGAGTGGTTTCTGTTTTGATATGGCTGTGGACGTAAGTCAGCCACAATCTAGGAAATTTACAGAAAATAGTCGGTATTTTTTGAGCATTTCTTCCTTAAACATATTAGCTCTTTTTATTAGAAAACTAGGCCATTTTAACCTTAGCCGCACACAAACTCAGTTGTCAAAACTTTTTGGATGGAGACTGCAGCTAATGAACAATTTTTGAGTCACTTTTAAGTATTAGACTGCAATATCTTTCGAACTGAAAAATCTAACTGGTGTACAAATAAAATGGTTATCCATCAGAAGTGTCTCTGAAAATACCTGAGGAAATTGATAAAATCAATACACAAGCACTACAATTAACTTTAAATTGTCACTCTAAGAAAAGAGTGAATAATATTTTTTGGGATTGCAATTCTTTTTTTTGTAGAATTTTTAGGAAATTTATGTAAATTTACAATGAATTGTTCGAATGATTTTTGAAGCCTATCAAGCTGAAGTATGTCAAAATATGTTTTGAATGCGAATTTTGGCAAAGCAAGGCTTCGGCCAAAAAAATAAGTTTGCTGCCTTAAAGAGCATTTGGTGTGTATATGTACATATATATTTTCCATTTCAGGCCATTTCACAAATTGCTAAAAAATAAAAATAAATTAAAAATCCTAACAAGATTGAGTGGCAAAAATGAAGCATACATAAGATAAATAAAAAGTTGAACTTAAAATCGAATGAAAAATTATTGGAGATGCACCCAAATATGTTGTAATTATTTCCATTTTCGGCCATTGTTTAAAAGCTAAAGCTAACAGAATATGGGGCAAAATATCGGCTGTATAATACAAGCTGAAGCCATTGGTGGTAGTGGTGGTGGTGGCGGTGTTTTTTTTTTTTTTTTTGGTTTATTTATAAATGTGTGTGGTGGTATTAAGCCAGAGTCTGAGTTCAGGGTCAAGAATATATATGGTACAAGGGACGGGGGTTTTTTTCTGCCGCACAACCATTCAGAGACGCCAGCGAGGGACGTACGAAAAAGTGTTGACTGAACGCTGCGCAGGCAAAAAAGGCAACTAGAACGCTTTTTGGTTTTTGGTGCCCTCGATGGAAAATGGAAATGTATTACAACACGAATTTGGCCACTTCTCCCCAGAGCCCCTTATCGTATCAATATTTTCGAGGATTTCTACAGCACACCTGCCGCCTGGTCATATCGCTTATTGCCCATTCCCAAACATTGTTAGAGGGGAATATATATATATATATTTGATTTGGGAGTAAAAAAACATTAGAGATAAACATAGAGAATTACTTCACCATCATCATCAACAATTGTTTTTTTTTTTTTTTGATTTTTTTAGTTATATAGAGAATGTAAAAATATAGATATTTCATTTTTAAATTTTTCATATACTGTGTGTGATTAAAAAAAGTTAGATTAGAAAATGATTAGTAAACAATTGAATTCTTTGTTTTGAATATGTTTAAATATTGCAACTTGTATATAGATTGCATAGTTAAACGACGACGTCGCGTGGTTATTTCAGATCATAATTGCAGATCATACAAAAGGTGGATTAAAACAAGAAAATAAAAATAATAAAAAACAGAAAAGAAAAAGTGGTAACGTTAATCGTATAGTCTAGAAGGGGTGGGGAGTGAAAGTGAGATGAGCGTAAAGGAAAGCGAGAGAAACGAAAATCAAAAATGTTGCACAGCCCTAAAGAGAATTCACATTTCAAGTTCGTGGTTTTGTGGTTCTAACTGGGCGTGTTGATAACGCCGATTTATTAGTAGAATTAACTTGAAATTAGCTTGAAAGTCTACGAGTATAATACTTTGCCCTTGTACGCGTATTTGACGTTTTTGATGGCAACAACAACACATAAGCGTATATGTATGAACAAAAGTAGCCAAGTAGAGGAAAGAGATGAAGAGAGTTAGAAAGAAAGTGTCAACACAACATTGAACAGTCAACTGTCTCTCAAAAAAGTTCATACAATGAATCATGGCTTTAGTATATATACAGCAACAGCAGCCGAAACTTCAATGCAATTCATTTGATTAACTCTTTTTCTTATGAACAAAGGCAAAGCTGATGGCGCTATTAACAGCAACAATAAACGCATAAACATAAATTTAATGCTCGCTGTCTTTTATTTGTTGCTGTAAATTGAATCTTATAGAACGAGTTCACACACAATTATTTAAATCACAAACTGCAGTACTCGTATTTAACTTGTGTGCAAGTATATTTGATTTTTTTTCTTTTTTTGAAACGCAAAGCAATAGTTGTTTTTGTTTGTTAATAAGGTGTGTTTATGAGGCAACTTTTGTACAGCAATTGTAAGGAATTGAATAGAGGCTGTTATTTTTACACTATATTGGCTTTGCCGTGTAATATACAATTAAATATGTTCAATTGTTTTTTGTTGTATTTTACAAATTTGTGCTGCAAAGCTGCGAGCCAAAGCGCTCGAGTCTGCCTTGCATTTCTAAATAGTGTAAAAATAAAATATATGCATTGAAAATGTTGCGCTAAACTGAAAGTGATAGAAAAAATCAGTAAATAGAAGAAAACAAAATGTATAAGTAACTCAGAGGAGAAAACATTGTATTGAACTGATCTAAAATATTGAACTAAATCGAACTAAAGAAGATAGTCAGCGGGTATGGGGGAATAGCAACGTTTGTCACTTGCTTACGCTTACGTAGAACATATTAGACACAGATATAGTATTGGATATTATATGGATTTAATTGGCAACTGATTGAACTTACCCGCGCCGCAAAACTAGTGTTTGGTTTCTCGAGCAGCTCCCATAGATATTTCTGGTATTCGGCGCATTTACCTTCGCCGAACTCCTCCTCATCGCGTTGACGCAAGGATTCGGCCTCCTTTCGCATCTCCTCATGGACATTCTCCTTGCGCTGGTGGTACTTGTGTTGACAGCAGGACTCGAGGTATAGTTCGTCAACGCCCCAATACTCCAGATCATCACTAAACGCAAGCACGCACATCTCATCCACAATGTGCAATTTCCCGGTGCGATAAAAATTTAATATGGAGCTAAAGCTCTTCGGATGACGATCGAAGAAATATTCGTTATCGACGAGCGAATAATCATCGCACAGCTCAATGATAGACTCATGGGTGGTGCACTCACGTAATCGGCCGAGCCGTGTATGTGGCAAACGCTCCAATGTGCGCCAGAGCACCTCGTGCTTAACGCCACCGACATTGATCGAGACGCGACTATTCATTTGTTTCGATTGTGCTATCATGAATGGTTCCGGCGGCGGTATGGAGGACATGGATCTGGAATGTGTCCGCTGCAATGCGCCGGCAGCATTGGAGCTGGCGGGTAGCATGACAATGCCACCGCCGATGCCACCAATTGTGCCAGCTGCTGTGCCACCACCTGCACCAATGCTGCCACCACCAGCGCCGCCGCCGGTTCCGCTACCACCACTGAGTGCCATTTGCTGCTGCTGTTGTTGTTGTTGTTGCTGAAGCTGTTGAAGCTGCTGCTGCTGCGACTGATGCTGCAACGCAAGAGTTTGCTGGGAAGTTGTGGGATTTGAATGCGTTGGTGATGTAACTGGGAATGGAGCGTAACGAACTTCTTTGCCAATGGCGCCGGTGCTGCCACCGCCACTGCTAACTGTAGATGTGGTTGCTGCTGCAGCTGCAGCTGCTGCTGACGACGCTGCTGTTGTCCCAGCAATGCTTCCAGTAGCGCCTCCCAGACCGATAGCAGGAGTTGTTGTGTGCGTTGTTGTTGTGGCGGATGTGCCAGCATTGTGGCCGCCATCAGCATAATCCATGTGGCGATTGTTGTGGATAATAGCGCCGCCGGCATTAGTTGGCCCAATGTTATAAGCAGTGCTGCCAGTTGCTGTGATAGATCCGCTGCCGCAACCATATGAACTAGCTCCACCGGTTCCCATCGCTCGGTCCCAATCGACATTACCGCTTGTATCGTAATAGGGCTGATTATCGCTGCCGTCGGCTGGGCCCGTAAATTGTAATCCACGCGCAATTGCTTCGTGTTGCTGTTGTTGTTGCTGTTCAAGCCAGATGGCTCCACTTGCTCCTGCGCCTGCGCCTGTTCCTGTTCCTCCACCAGCTGTGCCTGCTGCGGCACTCGCTTGTTGCTGGTAATATAGCTCGTGTTGAAGTATTTGTTGCTGTTGTTGCTTTGAGTCTCGCTGGCTCTGTTGTTGCTGTTGCAATTGTTGTTGATGTTGTTGTTGCTGTTGGCTAGCAGCCTGTCCACCGTGCAATTGTCCAACCATTTGTAATACTCCATTATTGTTTTCAAGCGGTGTTAGTTCACCCGTTGCCCAGCGTACCGCTTCACGGCCCCTGTCGCGTTCGCCGACCATAAGTCTGCTGCAATTGCATTATGCCATTGATTTACTGTCCATATCCATCAATTAATTACTGTCTTTATCTCACTTATATACTTGTATATCGTATATACACTTCCATATATGTACTACACACTTAGCACCTTCTTCTTCTTCCGACTGATACTCACCGCTACATCGCGTCAATTGTCGTCTTCATTACAGCAGCCTCCTTCTGCACGTTGCCGATTCCACCCAGGCCTCTTTCGTTTCCCTTCTCTGCTGCTCAGCTTTGTTCTCGAATATTCAATTATTCTCCAACAGTTATCGTTCGATCTAATTGGCCGCCGCAACGCTCTATAAATCTAACAATATTGCACATCGATTGCGGTCAGCTGGCACGCTTTTCGCTCCTCCTTCTCCTGTTCTTCCTTTTTCAAGTCTCGCCGGCGTTTTGTGCAACTGTCCTTCATGTCTTTTTTCTTGGCTCAGGATATATTATTCTTCACGTGGTTGCCGTTATTGTGTTTTAGTCTATGATCACAGTTGTTGTCTAGGGTTTTATTTTTGTGTTTCTTGTTGCTGTTGTTGTTGGGTTTCGCTGGCTGGCTGGGTCAGGCGTAATTTGGCAGCGTTTCTTTGCGGGGCAGGCAGCTATTTGCTATGTGTTTGTTTATGTTTATGTATATGTGTGTTTGAGTGTGTATTGGTGTTGTTAGGGTACAGCTAACTGAAAAGACATGGGAGAAGAAGAATTCATCAATTAATAATGTCAACTAAGTTTTTAAAATGAGAATAACTCTAAGGCAGAATTTATACTTGTACAAGTATATTATTAGAATGGCAAGACGACTGATGAAGACATGTCGGACCTTCCACCCGTTTGTAAGATCATCGATAGTTTTTAAATCCCAACTGTTAGGGACAAAAAACTTTCTTAAGTACATAGAGTTGTAAATTATTAAGCTATTATGAAAACGATGTTCGCAAGAAAGTTTCAATGAAAAGATTATCGCATAACTCGGTTGCAAAGCTAAGTTTCCGGAAATCTTGCTACTAATTTTTTCAACAATAAAAAACCGTGTTCTAAGGTTGTAGATAAAAGCAAATGTGTATAATAATTATTCAAATGTTTATTTAATTTAAATTGTTAAAAAATAATTGCTCAAAACATAGCCGAATACATCTATGATTAAGTAATTAATATTTACGGAAATTTGTTTATTAGTTCATAGCACGGTTCCGGTATTTGTTAAGAAATTTCAACGACATTAAAAAACTAATTCGAATTTCATTTGTAAAATAAATTAAATAACATACACTTATATAGTTATATTTTTTTTAATATTCATACTTTTTATGGCCGTTACTCATACTCGTACAGAATGCATTATAACAAATAAAATGAAATTCGATTGGCATTTTCAAGTATAAGCTCGCAATGTTGATTTATATGTGTTTCTGATAAATCCTGTGACATTTTTATTTTGAAAGACATCGGCCATCAGATTATTTATTAATTATTTATTCGTTGTCTTTTTATTGTCATTGAAAATATGAAGCTCAATAGTAATTTAATGTTTTTAATGTCAAGCTATAAATAGTGGCGATTTATTTGAATACGTTTAAAAACTCATTGCCATAATTTTTAGGATGTGATAGCTAAAAGCAAGTATATAACATAACTAATGAAATGCTTTTCAACTTCTTCAAGAAAATATTATTTTAATTAATGAATTACAGGTAATTTATATTCTTTAATTAAATCCGAAGAGTAATCAAATGTTAAATCAATTAAAGTAAAAATACTGATATTTTAATTAAAAATATTCAATTGAGGTTTATGTCAATATATTCCTACCATCTAATTTCTATCATTAGCCACTAAAGCTTTGAGCAAATTTAATATTTGCGTAATAAGCTTCATTTCGTTTGATAGGCAATGGCAATTGACGTTTATTAAGCAATCATTTCATCCAGAATAACACAAACCAACAATAAACGTTGGCCGTATAATCAGCCCGCTCTTCATTGCGTCCTAATATGTTGTGGGTGCATATAAATCAATAGTTGCAGACAGCTGATTAGATAACAAATGTTCTGCACGCATGAGGAATGCCCCCACCTCCTCCGTCATACCTTCTTCGGCCCCAATGGCAAAGGTGTCGATAAGCGATGTACGCGTAAGAAATTTTTATAGCATACATTTGGGGTGCCTTGCAGAAGGCAAGCTGCGCATGCAATTACAGTATTTAAACACATACATGAGAATTGCCGTAAGGTGTGTGTGTGTGTGTGTGTGTGTGCACTTTTCGGATTGAGGTCAGTCGAGTGTGTATGTGTGTGCCTTTATTTATTGTGGTTAATTTACAAAAGCTGAAGGCTGCTCGCACACACCAGTTTTGCATTCAAATGCCGCAGGCAACTTCGATTTCTGGGCACTTACACACACACACACACACACACACACACCCTTGCATTTAGCCACTACACACATCATTGTAGAAACTTGGCTATTTTGAGCAAACATTTGGCATGGCCTTTGCCTAAATCGCCTCTTCTTGCTGCAATGCAATCAAATTTGAATTTTTACGCCCAACGGAAACGCAAAGCGTAGTGTGTAAGTGTAATAAGTCTTAACAATTTTTTAGTGCATTGTTTATGGATTGGCGCAACATCAAATGTTAATTAAGCACCGCATTGACCTTCTGGCTTGCACAAAAACCAACTGCTCGACAAGTTGCGTAAGTGCTTCAGCCCCTGGCAATTGGAATTCATTTCGCCTGTCTGACTGATTTAAGATCTTTCTACGGTCTCTCCTTAAACAGTCGGGGCTCGACAAATGCGAAACATATGGGGTTTAAAAACTTAAATAAAGTAACGTTGCAATGAAGTTGTATTGTTCCCTAGCTTTGATATTGTTTTCAAAATAGGTTTATTGCTACACTTTCTTAGAAAGACTTTTTTTTTTAATTAAATGAATTTTTAAAATTTTAAAAATTTTTGTCATCTTACACAGCCCTCAATGCTAGTCAGATTTTGATTTGCTGCCGGAGCTTTAGTTTCACTTTTTTTTGGGCTCCGTATGGAAGTCATAAAAAAGTACCCAGGCTTTAAATTTTTTATAAGTAGGATAAAACTTTTCTTTGCAGCATTCAATATGTAGGTTGTTTAATTTCTCATAATTAAACTAAGCTATGTAGGCAACCAGCTGTCACGTTCTATAAAAGTTATTTTATGTCGTTAAACAAAAATGAGGCCAAATTTCCTTTTATGGCTTAGAATATGCATGTGTTTTCTAGCATAAGCTACTTACATGCGTATTTGAAAAAGTTTAAAAATAATTAAGAATAGAATAGATACACAAAAACCTTTAATAATACGATCGAATATGAATCCACTATTTTTAAAGCCATTTTCCATAGTCGTTGCTTTACTTTCGTTTTATTCAAAATATTTTCCAAGACTTTTGTTCAACTATTCGAATAATAAATCAAAAAAATCATAAAAAAACAAACAATTATTTACTTTATTTTTTGTATATACTTATTTGTAGTTCCCTTTCGTGGTCCACCTGTACACCACTTGACAAAGTTCAGCAAATGACCAATTGTGCCCGTTGGCCTTTTTGAAAGTTTGTGCGCTCGTGTTTCATGCCAACCATCATTTAGAGGAAATATGTATAATAACAATTTCGTATGCATATTTTGAGCTGAAAACGCGATGCCGCTTGTCACTTTTCTTCAGTAATTTTATTCGTTTGGCTCCACTTTGTTGCTGGCATGTAAAGGCCAAATTATACACGTGGAGCGCAAAAAAGAAATTATAGAGTTTTGCTGCATTTTAGACCAGTTAAATTCTTATTTATTACAGTTTGCGATTATTGTTCTTGTTGTTGTCGCTGATGTTGTGTGGTACCGGGGAAAATTATAATGGCAAAGCGCGCACATATTTGTGTGCCTTTTTTATTTGCTCATTTTAGTCGCGTGTTGAGCAAAACTTTTGAGCAATTATTTCTGGCGCGAAATAAAAATAAACTGCATGGAAAGTGTTATTGTTGTTGTTGTACTAGTTGCTATTGTTGGCCATGCAACATGTTAACCTTTGGCTACTCGTTATTGTAATTAATTATAAAGCGCAAGTGTTGGCTGCCGTCAGAAGTGGCCAACTTTCTCATTTTACGCTCACCTTGGAACCTAAACCTGTTGCATATCCTTGGAGGAAACAAAAAGGAACCTTCAACGCTGCACGCAGCTAAGTTAAAGCTGTTGTTCTTGCTTTTGTTGTAAGAATTTGTGGAGAGTGAAATTAATTTAAATTTATTCCTTGGCTCAGCCCCATATTCCCACATTTTATATAACAACTCATTAAATTTATGACCAGCCCCCATAAATCTTGCAGATAATTTGACATAAACTCTAAACTGCTGGCACAGAATTGCTGATAAAATTACGATTTAATTGCCTTTAAATAGTTTGACAACGCCCCACACTGACAAGTCGTTTCGGGCGGGCTGTCTCGGAGGTCTGACACTTTCTCATGTTACACAATCTTAAATAATTGCATACACCCGCACGAATACATAATAAACCTTACACGCGCTAGACAACTTAATGACCATATCAACAATAGCAGCAACAACAAGAGCAACTGGACTGGCTTGACCGACACTAAAAAGGAAGGTAGTTTAGTTTGAAGGCAAAACAAACCTTAGCGAAATAACAAAAAACGACATAAAACGAAGCCGACCAAAGCAATTTCATGCTCGGTCAAATGGATGACTAAGCTGAAAATTTTGCAAGCGTGTGATTAATGATTTCTTTGTTTTTAGGGCGCTAATTGAAAATGTCACAAGTTGAGCCAACAACGCTCAGAGTGACAGTCCAATATAGCTACAAAGATCGGAAATTCTTTCTTAATAACGTTTCTACAAAAAAGGTCAATTGGCTTGTGATTGTGTAATAAAGATAATCTTTACAAGTAAATGCGAAACTGTATTATGTGAATTATACATAAATTCAATTTGATAAAGTTATGGAAAGTAAATGATTCTGTTATTTATTTATTTATTTTTATTTATTTATTTATTTATTAGCCTTATGCTAGCGTTACAAGTATCGGTTACTTTTAAATTATTACGCTAGTCATTACAATTTCACATTAAACATTTTCATTATTCTTTATAATTATATATTTTTAATTGAATAGTTTAATAGTTTTATACTTAATCTAAATTGCCTACTGAACTAGGTTATTTAGTAGTGTTTATGAAAGTGTTCTATATTTCAGAAATAATAATGCTTCGATAAAATGAAATCGTAAACAGTTGTTTTGACTTCCAAGTACTAATATATTTCTCAATTTATACTAATATATTTTCTTGGTAATAAACAGTAGGGTTTTATTTAAACAGGTATTAGAAAGTTGTGTTTTAAGATCAGAACTATTTTTCCTAATAAAAACTATATTTATCATGTGAATATTATTTTACAATACATACGCGTATGTCAAAAAAAAAAAAAAAAATGTATAAAGAATATTTATATTACATGCATTCTTCTATTAATTTGTTTTAAGTCAGCTTTGTTTTTCTTATGTGCAGTTGATTTCTGATCGAATTTTAAAATAAGAAATTCTGGACGATAATTGTAATTTAGTAATTAATTTTTAGTTCAATCATTTTATAATAATTTTTTGAATTCAGAACTCAATTTCAGCTCATAAAGTTTT